CACATATATTTTACGCATTCTGTCCGTTTATGATGTGTCAGTTCACACGTGACCAGGGGGGTCTTACACACACGTGGCCCGCCGTCGCCACCTCCATTCTCACTTTCAAATTTGAATGGATCCTCGGATACCAGACGGCCGTTGACGGATTCCGCGCACGTTCTGCCTTCGCCACGGATTTTCGATCGGGCATACGAACCTGAAAGTGAAAAGGAAGAGACGGAAGAATGCGATTCATGCTTTGCAGACGGGTTTCGTTGCGTGCAAAAGTGAAATTCCTTTTGTTTTTCATTTGCGTATTACCATAAAATACGAATCCCATGAAATTTCAAGAGGAACATTATATCCTTCTTTACTTTTCAAGATTTCAGGAAAATAAAAAAGGATATAGAATTTAAATGAATTTATTTTTACTAAAGGTCATCATTTACAATTCGTGATTTGATCGTGCCGGGGTATCTGACCTCCATGGAATATCTAACGCGGTCTTCTCGCGAGAGTCAGCCCTTAGTAACAGATACACCGTGATTGGACACCGTTTGCTTGTCACAGGACACTATGGGACCCGAATGATTTAAATGCACTACTCCACGCAAGTGAATCTTTTCTCCGTTTAATCTATACTTCACGTTTGCACTTATATTACCCTTGCAATTTCGTTCGAACATATTTAGATCATTTACCTTTGAACGTTATAGATACAGGTAGCATCGACAAATTAACCCTTTTAGTACCCAAAAGCCGAAATACAAATTCTAAATTCTGATACAGAAAGTGACGAGGATATAATACTTCCAACATTTTTTTTTATGCAAAACAATGTACACTCTACAATAAAGTGTAAAATTATCTTTCTTTTTAAAAGAAATCTATTAACTCTAATAAATATCTTCAGAAATTCATATTTTTCAAGGTATTTCTAGATGATACACAGAAGAATAGGTGTACTAAAAGAGTTGACAAATACTTCGATAAATTAAAGGATCAATTTCTACCTTTTTGAAGGGTTCGGTAGGTCTAGTGTTAAAACAATTATACTTCACAAATTTTTTCCAAGGTGCCATTTAGTATACGATGACTTGCTAGCAGTATACAAGATGATTAAAGAACGCCAAAGGGTATTTATTCGCATAGTGTCACGAATCCCGCGATGGTCACGTTTTTTTCTCTCCGTGCAACACGTCCTGTGTGCAGGAGACATTCCACCTGAACGGCACTCCTCTTTCGGCTCCTAACATTCCCCTGTAACTGCGCGCGAGCGCGTGCTTCATAACGTATTCCCGACTTGTCCACCGTCGGGAACGTAAACATCTGTGCACCTGCAGAAAACCAAATGTGTTCGCGTCGGGAGATCCCATTGCTAGGCTTCGCCAATTAGACGTTCGATTACAGGGTGTGCATCAGTGGAGACGTTCTCATACGGGGGCCTCTCCTCGCTTTAAGACAGCTGGAGCAATGGAAAGAGGACATAAAAAATCTACTAAGAAACCTGTAACCCCTATCATCTTTTATCATTTCCTTCAAAATCATACATTGCACATGGGACGAAGATGCTGACCACCAAACCGTCCCTTGTAATTAATTAGACACATTTTTCTCCTGAAGAAATGATGTTCTTCTGTTAAATGTTAGGTAAATTTAGTCGAGGCTCCGTGATTAGTTATTTAAAAAATTTTGCAAATTTAACTATTTATCACTTCCTTATATTAATGTTGCATCGCTGTATCGTTTTAACATCGAGGGGCAAATTAAGTAGGGAAAATGAGGGACGGATGAGGGATAATTTGGTTCTTGCCGGCTGACGGGCGGAACGGCACGAATTATTCGAGCAACGCGGTAGACAAGCTTCTTTTTGTGACTTTAATCTGCGTAGACGAGACTAATCGGGGGTTTGTTTTTTTTTTTTTTTTTTTTTTTTTTTTTTGATTGCAATTTCTTTCGAATAAATTCGAGAAAGAGGACTGTAGCGATGTGAAAGGCACGAGCCAATTTGATACCCCTCGTGCTGCTCACAGAAGCATTTTTCACCCTCGCGATCACCCCCCCATTTCTCTCACCCCCGAAACAGCTGCGTGTACCGAGAGAGAAAGGGAGAGGAAGGTGGCCCTATGGTGTGCGCGCGAGGCTCGCAACCAAGGGTACAATGGGAGGTTATGAAACGATAGCGTTTAGGTAGGATACCCACGAATATACATGTGTGTACCGAGGAGAGAACGTATAAACATATGCGAAACGCAGATGGCTGGTGAACCTTATCGTTTTCATTATTTCCTGCGCCACTCCGTGCCGTTGTGTGATACATATTCGTCACCGTTGTTCTTTGCTTGACCCAGTGAGCCGGCCTGAGATCATTTATCATAAAGCCACTAGCCGCCCCGACGAGTCAATCGAGTACGGCTAATTATATATATTCAAGGGTAACTGGTAATTTCCGGTAATGAAACCGTGTTTCCACTTCGTCGATGTTGTTTCAAATTCATTACTGATGTAGGTAAATGCGTTGTTCCCCAGGCGAAAACTATTATAACTTTGATATACAATTATAGGCTTGACTATACGTGACTATAAATTCGATATATTGATTGTGGCGTTGATTATAAGCGACTATAAGTCAGTTATATTTATTACAGCGTTGACTATAAATTACTATAAACTATATATATATATATATCTATTGTAGCATTGACTATAAGTTACAAAAAAAATATAAATCATTTATACCGATTGTAGCGTTGACTATCAACCTCTACAAAATAAATCTAGTTGTTATGGTGTTATGTATGACTACCAAACGGTTGTATTGTTGACTACAAGTGACTGTATCGATTATATTATTACTATTAATATCTACAACAAAACAAAGATTGCATTACTATAGTATCTACAATCGACATAAATCAGGACGTTCACTGTCCTCGTTAACAACAAGCAGGACAATGCATTATCGGTTACAATGGCGACAATGCTCACTATAAGCATCGAATTACAAAACAACAGTATCTCTTACAACACACCGACTATCCGTTCTAACGAATTATACAACAATTTCCTTTGGACAGTTAGTCAGTGATTATATCGTATCCCGTACTAGCATACCGGATTTTAAGGTTTACGGTAAGTCTCTGGCCAAATTACTATTCTCCGTGCAAGAAACAACGCGTTCCGTTTCGCTACGCTGGTTGTGTAGCGGAGTCTTTACGACGCTCCCTGGCGGAACAGAAGGATTAAATAAGCGCCGTTCGCCTGAACGTTCGCACGACACGGTGCAACGGAAACGCGAGGCGGTCGTAGGCGATGGCTGGTGGAACAGTAATCATAACAAGCGCAGAAGGACCGTTGCGTTCGGTTTTACGTGTGTGTGTAACGAAGTAATACACGTACCATGCGTGTGTTTTATCCAGAGTTTAACCGACTATCGCGGCCAGTTACGTCATCCTCTGCGAACTTAGACGCCACAGAGGCTGGAATGTAAATACGTTAGAGCAGACCGCGTTGCTCGAGTCCGTACTGGAGTTTCTTCGCTAACGAGGACAAACGCGGTCCACTGGGAACACGAAGGTTCGAGTATTTCTTCAATGGATACAAGGAAAAAAGATTTCACTCTGCTTTCTCTTAGAGTAAATATATGTATTTATAAGAATGAAAACACTATGGGGTGTTTCGGAAGATGTAGCGCCTATTGTAATGGTGGGTATGCCGGATGCAAAATTATTTTACCCTATTCCCAAGTTGGAATTGACTTCAAGTTGGCATTTTCTCGAAATTGAAATTGTCCCCTAATTGGAGTTTGCCTCAATTTGGAATGGGATCAAGATGAATTTGGTCCCCTGTTTTTACGTTTCAATAATTCTTCATGTCAATGTGAATTATTACGATCGAAATCCAGAAAGTACCGTCAGACTAATCATTTTTAACATAATCTGTCGGCATAGCAGGCTATTACAGTAGTCAAAGGTTTCTTCGATTCCAACCTTGGTAAATCAATCCATATGACTCTTTATATTTGCGACATGATTTTTTGAAAGTCTGTTTCGGAGAAAGGAGCAATGAGAGAGCTAGTCAGGGGGTGAGAATGTACGACGATCGTACCGCGGAGGATGTGGACAGGAAATCCTTGAAAACGGAGACCGTATCCTAGCCGCCTGTGACCGCAAAAACTGACACTGGCTAGGCTGCGGTCAAGATTACCTCTCGGCCGGTCCGCCCGGGCAAGGGTGGAGAACAAAAGGGGGTGGCGGGCGCGATCATTTCTTGACAAAGAAGAGGAAGAATCGCGCAGGATGGACGGTCAGCCATCCGTGATTTCCCGTCTTCGCTTTTGTACAAGGGGAGGGGGGGAAAAAGTGCCCATATCCGTTACGGAGATTCGCACGTTCGATCCACTTGCGGATTCCGGGGGTCTCGGATGTGATTGAGTCTCAGTTATAAAAAGAAAGCCATCGTCGGTGTTATACTGCGGATTTGAACACGAAGACTTCGTATTGGCTGAATGTTCTCTGACGATTTTCCTGGACAATAAGCCGTCAAGATTTATACTAACCTTCGAAATTATTGTTAGATAACAACGGAGAATTTTTGGGGGAGGATTTACAACAGTATTTACTAGAATATACAGAAAATTACCGTGTATGTAGAAAGAAATACGGAATTATCCATAAAATAACAAATAACAGAATAGAAAACAGAAAGTGAACTATATAAGAATATAGAAAATTAACAATAAAAGATCGGAATATACAAGAATGAAAGTAATGTGTAGAAATAATACGTAGGTACATGATCATTAAACTTTATTAAAATCTTTCTTTTATTGCACTTTCTAAGATACATTATAAGTAGATTAAAAAATGGTCATTTCTAAGTTTCTTCTTACAACGAACCGCCTAAAACCGCTTCTCCCAGTCAAAGGGTTAAATGATTGGGGGGGGGGGGAATGTTACTCTTGCGAATATTCAGACGTCATGGACGAAAAACAATGTTTTTCTTTGTTTCGGTTCCAGATCGCGGTCCGGATACGATTCCAGTAGCGGTGGCGAGTCCGACAACGAGTACAGTGGCAGCAGCGTATGTCGTGGCGGTGGTGGTCATCAGTCACAGAATCCGGCCGCCACGAGCGCGAGCATACAGGGCCAGGGGAAGCACATAAACAAAGGAAGGTGGACCAAAGAGGAGGTAATAAAGCGGAAGGCGTATAAGACTATTAAGAATTCGTTCATTCAACGGAGACGGGTTGTTTTATGGACCAATATGAATGTTGAGTAACGTTACAGTTAAGCAAGATCTCTCTTAAGTAGACCCTCGGAACTGTAGACCATGCGTAGTCAATTGAAGTGGTCATTTTTGGCTATCTCGGTAGTTTATCCTTTTCTCAATTTAACTCATTACACCTCCAATGTTTTCTAAATATACTTGACAATAAAGAAATAGTTTCATGTAATCTATTAAAGTTTAAAATAGCGCGGGTGGATTATAGTCATAAATCGGTGTTTCTGGTTCGTCATAAAAGTGCCATTTTATTTTCCGTCATTCAGATCTGTAAATTTTTCTATACCTAAAAGGGTACTTTGTTGTAGGAGTATATAGAAGCTACAATGTATATATAATCACGAATACTTCCTTTCGGTGACCTCAAATGTCATTTCCATGTACCTTGAAAAAAAAAAAATGCAAAGTTTCTAAAAGCCTTATATTGGTACACTTAACGGCAGAAAAAATATTTTCAATTGGACCAGTACTCGCGACTCAATCCAATATATAATGGCGATATACAATCACTTTCGACCATTTTAAGTGCCATTTCATTTTTGGCCACTTTCGGTGCCATTTCAATTCATATATCTTATTCACATTTGCAAATTCATTTCGTTCGCATAAAGTGTATTCAACGACAAAGAAAAAAAAAAGCGCGTTAAAGAATGTATTGGAAATTTCACCGGCAATGGCCATTATTCCCGAGACCCGAAATTTCTCATCTCGCGGTATGAAAGGATCTGGCGGCGTCCGATTGTTTCCTCCCTTTATCTCTCCGACATGAAAATTTTGCTGGTGCTCGCACACGCGATCTTCCCGTCGGTCCTCGTCATGTCGTGACTTTGATCGGATGCAACGCGAGGGGAGGGATACACAATGAGCATCGGCCTCGAAAAAAAAAAAAAAGGTCCACCCTTCGTGTAGCTTCCACAACGAGTTACGTCCGCAGGCAGATGCCCTCGACCACCCCATAGTCATATGCTACCATAGAGCGCCAAAGACCGCCGTATGGTTTCCCGTGGGAAACATCATAGTATTAAATAGAGAGCCCTATCGATCCCGCGCGCGTTTTGTTACGGCCGCGCGCACCTCTCCGGTCCCATTATGACGCAATCCGCGAATCGAAAGTCACCCAAGGTGTGACCGATTCGTGATCGATGCTACACGGAAGGGTCCATTATTTCCCATTTATCGGTTCATCGGTGAAATATCGCCTGAGATTAAAATAAATTTTGGAAACGAAATTTTCCGAAAGATTCAATTGTCCTGGTGAAATTACTGCGAACTGTAAACTTTAATTTTGTACTGAAAAAAGAAAATGGCATTTCGAAGAAATTGTATTTTGTACTCGTTTGAAGAAATTATTTTGGGTTTAGGGGTAAGTATTTAAAATGGCATTTTTCGGGTACTTCATTGTATTGCTTTAACACTGGAACTACCAGCGTTGAATGTGTACTAAATTAAATTGTATAATACATTGGTATCTATAGTAAATAATGTATGATAGTCTAATGTAGCGTAATTTAAAATATATAATGAATTAAACATCGACAATTCCGTCAATTTTTACGGGTGGTAGTTCTAGTGTTATATAATAATAGACATGTGAATTTTCGTTTCTATGACCATTATACGAATATAGGTAGGTAGAATACTCGGTGACGCCTGGAGTTACGAATTACTATTAAATACTCCAAGCAGTATGTAATGTTTTTGTCCTCGAGTTATCAACCTTCGATGATCTTGTTTCCTTTCAAGGGTAGCACCTGCTTCCGAACGATACATCGAAATTATCAGACATTTCTTTGTGAGACATTAAACATCAAAATGGCACACCATCCGTCCACGTTTTATGTACTTTCCCTCAATAAACTCTACAACCTTTCGAAAACACCAAATCGTTTCCCAGGGTTATTGCTTTTTATATTAGAAAAACATACGCACAACATCTGCATCCCTGATATTTTTATTATATTTATGAGACCTATTACTTCGGACCTTTTTACCTCAACAATAAATTTACCCAATTTTGCGGGCATTTAACGAGCCACGTTTCAGGCTTTACATTTATGGGTTGGCGTATGATTGTTTCCAGGATGCTTTGTTGAAGCAATTAGTGAGCTGCGCGGAACAACTGGGCACGGGGCTGCGATGGGACACCATAGCAGGACACTTTCCGGATCGTAGCGACGTGCAGTGCCAGCAGAGATGGGCAAAGGTCGTGAATCCGGAGTTGGTCAAGGGACCTTGGACGAAGGAGGTATATATATGTATATATATATACCTGAATTTTGTTGCACCCTCTTTGGATCGGGGACATTCCCTGGGGCCCATTGTTTCTCGAACCCTGTGAACCCTCCATTAAAATCCCCACCGCTCGAGAGGGTAGTTCGAGTCGCCATCTTCTTTCTGCCTGAGGCTAGACTATAGGCTGCCAAAAGGGGAATCAATCGAACAGGAAAAGTAATAATTATAGTACTCATTTATTTTACAATGATAATTTACAGGTAATTAGTCACGCCAATAAGTGCATATCGTGATAAATACAGTGCAGAAGGCGATGTTTAGTGGTTTCATAACCATACTTTTCGGTTATAGGTTAGATTCACCGTTAAGTAACGGTGTTTAAGGGGCCTTTTAGGATACTTTTTGCTTCCCTCCTTTGTGTACTTGTCCGAGGTACAGAATTACTGGATTACTGGATTATATTCCCTAGAAAGAGTGGTTCGTTTTTATTGTAACCACGACGATTAAAAATTGTAGGGTGCTTGTATAGTTACGCCACGCAATGTATTACATGTTCATCGTTCGATAATAAACCACAATCATAAGTACAGAGAGTTAGGTAAAGTTGTAAGCTGCTATTAACATAACTTAACCTGATCAATTTTGAATAAGTTGAATAAGTCATGATATAGTTATATACTCTAACAAATCACTAAAATTTACTCAGTATAGTTATAAAGTTTACAAAAATATGTTATTTTTAACTTTCTTGATCATTTATACGTTCTTGCCGTTCGTTTCTTCCGCAAAAATGTATTTCCGGCAAACTTAAGGATATTCTGCACTCCAATGATGTTTTTCGGTCCACACAGAGAGACGTTGAAACCCGGTTTCACGACGATTCGAACCCGATCAAACGGGGGGCAACCGTTTCTCTTGTCGGTGACAGAAAGTTCGCGAAGAACCGTTACACCCTCGTTCTCGAGAAGTTTCATCTGCCTTATAAGCGAAACGCGCATCCGGGCAGAATTCGTCCGGGAGGGCCACTGGCTGTTACAGCGTACAGACCCATGCACAGGGTGTTTCCTGATATTCACCAAATAAAATAACACCGCAACCGGGCCTATCACAAACAGACGAAACCTTGCACAAATATACAGAATCTTTAAAAAGTAATGTCCATGTTCTTTACCCTTTAACGCTCAGACCCTTAAATCGTTATTTCAAAATATTATGAGACTGATTGTATATTGTATCGTGTTATTTTTAAGTCAAAAATATCGATATTAAATCAACATGTTTTTTTACCCTTTTTTTTTTTTTAATTTCGCAGTTCTGTATAACATCATGTTACATAACATTTTCGTGTTATCTAGAGCAAGCTATATGTTATCCACCAAACGTGACGCCATTATGAATAATGAAATGTAAAACGTTATACGAACTTGTTACATAATTTTCTAACATAAATTATAAAAACATATTATATAGCTAGTTTATACAACAATTTTTTATGTAACACTGTTTAGCTATATAGTGTAGACGCAGCTTTAGTTTCCGAAATGCCCTATATGCTGGAAAGTCCAATCGAACAAGACCCCAATCGACCACTAACCCCTCTAAACGCTACGGTTCCGCTACCCAAGTGTGTAACACGAACGAAACCCGGTGGATTCCCAAATGGAACGTGTGAACTCTCACAGCAGTGATTTTCAACCGGGATGGTCCCGCGAAAATGTTTAAAAGACCATTAATGATATTATTTTCGAAGGCTGTCCAACGCACAATAAGTTGTATATATAAAAATTAAAACATTTTTAAATTCATCACACAAGTATATCATCGTTGGTACTTTAACTATCGGTTCAAGTGCGCCATCAAATGGAAAACGTTGAAAAACACTAGCCTAAAGGGATTCACAACAGAGAGTTCCGTATCACCCTGTATATGGCCGGTACTGTACGCCTACACGTCTGCTGGGGAGGGGGTCAGAAAAGGAACGAGGGAACCGCGCCGCGGCTCTCCTACGGTCGCCTCGGTGGGGTATGCAATAAGAAAAAAAGAGTTGCCTGGAGCCGCGGAGATGCTGCGTCGTCGTCGTCGCCGCCGTGCCAATGCACTTGGCAACAGCCAAGGGCAAATAAGCCGCTCCCCGGTGTACCGAACCGCCGCCGCGGTTGTACACCGTCGGTCACGGATCCGCGTCCGTGTGTGCACCTGATTCGTGGGTATGGGAGCGCGCAAACCCATCGGGACGTTCCTTCTTGCCCAGGCGTATTCCTTCTCTTTCTCCTTTTTCCCCGTTTTCTTGGTCTGTGTGTGTGTGTGTGTGTTTGTACGCGTTACGATCATCTCTCCTCGTTCACTGTGTGTCTTCTCTTCTCTCCGACCAGTCCTTTCTTCGACCTACCGCCACGTTCTCCGCCTCTTCGTGACTTCGCGAGAGGACCAGGGAGAAATTACTCTGCGAACCCTGGGCCAAGGAGGATGGGAAAGCCTTCCGGTGCCTCCACGCCGATTCCACGTTTTTCTTTGGCTTGCGTTTGAAAGATACGCACAACGGTCGGAATATTCCGTTCTTGGGACCATTTTCAGACTGTCTTTACTTGGATGAATGGAATCCTATTTAGGGGGAGGGGGGGGGATAGTCTAACTCTAGGTCCCTTTAATCTTGTGTAGCCTGAATTGTTTTCGTGGATGTAAACAAAATTTATGTAACGTGTATGCAAGAAATGCCAACCTTTAAATATTAGTTAACAGTCAGTTTATAATTTTCAAAGATTTTATTATTACTCCGATATCTGAAGCTAGAATTCAGCTAATCTGTCTTCTAATCTGTCTTGTCGGTTACCAAAGAGAGGTTATAAAAGACGATGTGTACGCCACACGGCGGCAAAACGTTCAATTAGACCGAAATATAACGATATATCGGTGGGCGATTTGAAAGTTACACGGAATTATAGAGAGCTAATGAGGGAACAATGTACATCGCCATTGTTACAGTCCTGTTTAAAGATAGTCACGTAAAACGGTCACTTCACGTGGGTAAAGAAATCATTGCCTGTGGGAAGTGAAAACCGGTAAATCGAGAGGTTTCCCGTTCCCCCTCGACTGATGATTGGCGATATTTACAGGAGGACGAAAAAGTGGTAGAATTGGTGGAACGATACGGGCCGAAAAAGTGGACGTTAATTGCACGGCATCTGAAGGGTCGTATCGGTAAGCAGTGCCGGGAACGATGGCACAACCACCTGAATCCCGGGATCAAGAAAACCGCGTGGACAGAGGCGGAGGACCGTGTTATCGTGGAGGCACACCGCAGGGTGGGCAATCAATGGGCGAAGATCGCGAAATTGCTGCCCGGAAGGACGGACAATGCGATCAAGAATCATTGGAACAGTACAATGAGGCGAAAATACGAGGCGGAAGAGGGGAAATCAGTCACCGGGACTAGAGGTTCATATTATTTCTTAATAGAAAACAAAGTCGCTTTGAACTACACGTGACACTAATCACGACACACATATTAAAAGCTGAAGGACAGATGTTATCGTTAGACTAATTTTTTTACAGGGCGAGGTAGAAGAAAACTGACAGAATCATCGGTCACCTCGAAAGACACCCTTTGTACGGAGGAGGACACCTCTGGACACTCTCGGTTGAAAGCTCCATCTACGAGTAGCGAGAACACGACAACCGTGACAACCGTGCAGGCGCACACTCTGGACATTGACCAGCTGGACTGGTCCAAGGTCTGGGACAATCAACAAAACGCTCAGACTTTCCAGAGTCTCCTTACTCTGAATGAACGTACGCATAGCAATGACACCCGGTTGAATTCGCCTTCGAAGAGGGGGGGAACCTCGTCTGTCAGAGTCAAGACTGAACAGATATCACCGTTCACGAAGTACGTTGTTTTATCAGTGAAACGAAAAAGATCATCATCCAAATTCATGAAACTCTATGGAGAAATGATTTATTTACATGTAGATTTTCTTGTAGGTATTTCGATTTGCAAATACAAGGCGAACCGACCAGCTCCAGAACTTCAGAGATCCGACTAATGCCTATGCCGGATTTAGAAGAGATATCCGGCAGCATGACAGAGAAGGAACGAAGCAGTCCGCCCCCGATCCTCCGTAGGCGTAAAAATATTCTTCAACAGAGAATAGACACCCCCGACAGCGGAAATCAGTCGGATTATTTGATAATAACCCAGCATCCGCCGCAACAGCAACAGCATCATCATCACGCCGGCGATACAAGCCCATCCACTCCCATTAAACAACTGCCGTTCAGTCCGTCACAGTTCTTGAACAGTTTGAGCCCCGAGACATCTTCCTGGCCACGAGCGAGCACCCCGAAGGGTAGCAGTCCTGGTCCACTCACCACACCGCAACCCACCGGTCTTCGACGAAGTCAGAACGGTAAGCTTTCCGTCGGAGTACTAACAACAGAGGGAAAAAAGGACGATCCAAACTACCGAAAAATGTTAACAGTGCCTAAAAATTAAAAGACGTCGATAAGCCAAATATAAAGATCCATTTGTATTTTCAGATGGCAATACGCCGAGGACACCAACGCCGTTCAAGAACGCTCTAGCGGAGCTGGAGCGTCGTAGCGGCGCGACAACTCAGTTACCTGCCACCCCCAGTCGTCTCGATGCTTTAACCGAGATCATCAAACAGGAAACCGACCGTGAAAGCTTAGCAGGGACCAGTGGTATCCTTCAGGACTCTGGTTATGGCACGATGAGACGACGGGGTAAAGAGAACAGCGCTCCCGGTGGAAAGAGAGCGCGTAAGGCTCTCTGTCAAGCCTGGGCGAACTCTTCTCAGGACAATTCGGAAATGAGTTTCGTTGTAGAAACACCCGTAAGTTGAATGTTACATTTTGTATCCCTGTTAGCTATTACTCGATAATTTTCGTTAAATTGGTTCATACGCATGTAATGTATTAATGAACTTTCTGTTATATGTTAAAGATTTATGCAATATTGTTTCTCTTTCTTTGTAGAGTAAGAGCTTGGACACATCGGTATTATTCTCGCCGGCATCCATGGCACTGGAGGATAGTTTCCTGACAGCAGGGACTAGTCCCGTAAAGGTAGAGAACCATGTCCATCATAATCAAAATCAAATTCATACCCAACCAGCCCTATCCTGGTATTATTCCCGTACCAATCGCCTTTAGACACGCTAGCCGGCCTAATTCTCTTTTTGTTTTAACCACTCTTTGTTTCTGTCACGCCCTCACGTTTAATACCTTTAATTCTGCCTGCCTGCCTGCCTCTTAATAACGTAATGGCCTTGTCGCTTCTATTTCTCTCGTCCATCCTTGATTCTCTTCTATTTTTTTTTTTAAATTAATTTACGATTAAATGTTAAACACCACGGCGCGCAAGAAAACATAACCTCCATTGGGTTATCCTTCGCGAGATTAATCACCGATTTTCTTTCGTCGTCATGGTTATCGTCCAATCCAAAGATTATTAACGTTCTTTTTTTTTTTTTTTGACTTTTAAGCTCTAAGTATAACACGACTAACATTAACGTCGTAAATATCGTTTGATCTATTTATAACATTAACTTATTTTTCAATGACGCGTATGCTTAACCTGTTAAATTATTTATATATAGCGTTTACGGTACGAAGCTGTTAAGTATAATTTACAGTTATAGAAGAAAAGAAAAACACGTTATTTAATCAATTGTCGTTCGAGATTTGAATCGCCCGCAAAATGGACGATCGGTCGGGTACTTAAGTTACTGGTTGCGTGTATACAGTTTTCTTTTATTTTATTTTATTTTATTTTGGCCTACATTGCCCCACGTTGGGAGACATTCGTACTTATTCGCTTCGAACCAAAATTCGCGATGTGTTCTAATGCTGCGCGTAGATGTATGTAGAGTCGGTGTACGGTCGAATATTGTTTCGTTTTTGTTTGCTTTGATCACTGGCTTCACCTTTGATCGATTTCGCTGAGAATTAAATTACGTTTATCAGTTAATATGCTCGTTTCCACTCATTCCTTTTTTTTTTAAATATTTTTTTTGTTGACATTTTGAATCGTGTAAATTAATCGTGTACATTAACGCTTTGAAGACGAAGTGAATTTTAAACCATATTCATCCCGGTGATGTCGCCATATTAATACGGTTTTTAATACTGCGAATTATTAAACGAGTCTAATCTCGTTGTCGATAAAATTCGATAAGACTTGTTCTTTGTTGTGAGAAACAAAAATGTACAGCATTCTTCGAAAAGAAACGACAACTTTGTACATACCAATAGAAAAAAAGACGATCATGTTGGTTCAGTAACCTCGAGCAAACGAAAACACACAGGGTACACGTAAACGAGAGGTTATCGACCTTTTCGTTCGCGTACACGTTTTAACGAAATCACGTAGTGTCGTTTGCAGTCCAACTTTTTCTTCGTTCTCCGAGTTCTTAGTTCGATAACGAACGGGAAGTATGTAAAAAGAAACTTGTTTCGTTTTTTTTTTTTTTTTTGTTAAATGGGTTACCGGTGACCCCCGCGAAGAACGGACCGTGTTCACGTGTGCCTCACGTACACACATTCTAAAAGAAGTGTATCCTTGTGAATCCTTCGTCCTTCAAGTAACTCCCCAGGAGATATATCCCGCACGATGATGTATGTATGTATATATAGGTATATGCACACAAAAAAAAATAGTATCTTTAAATATTTATTATCATATTAATATATTCATATATTTATATATATATATATATATATATTATTTACTTCTTTCGTAAATAACGTTCAGTTGCCGCATGTTTAAAAACTAACTCGAACGTAAAACGCCCTTAATTATAGGCCTGGCCTAGCGTACCAAAGTACCTCCCCTCCCCCCCTCTGTCACCGCCCGTCCCAATCCAGAAACGAAACCGACGAGTCCAAAGACGATTTGTTGTGCGGTGGCTCCTCCAGAGGTCGCCAGACGTCGCGACGTTTCTCCGAAACCGAGTTGCACCGTGCAAAGAAGCAAAAAAAAAGAGAAAAGAAAAAACAGAAAAATAAGGCCTAGTCATTCCACGATAAAAGTGTGGCGGTTCGCCTAGCGATACCAAGTACCGGTGAGAAAACCACGGTGTATGGACGAGCTAAAGCAGTCCTCCTAATTCTCTTCGAAGTAAGGCCCCTCACACGATCTATCATCTTTCACTGTTTTTTTTCTCTGTCGACACGCCCTCTCTATTTCCGATCACTGTCTCTCTGTATCACCAGTTCTCTTGTTTCTCTTTGAACTCGACAGTCACATCGTTCGAATGATTGTCGAGACAGCGACGTACAGTCTCTCGTCGGTCGTTAGACGTACAACTACTTTTTCCCCACGAACATTATTGATGTTCTCTTGAACAGGAATTTTTCTAAGCGATAGTTCTTTTTAATTGCCGGCTGTAGCTAGTGTGTCTATCCTTTCCAGACTTCCCACGACTTTGCGTCCGTACAGCGGAAGCCTAACGCCAAGAGGGCGATCACGTTCGAGGCGCTCGACAGTCCCTGCTGTATACTCAGCCCTCTGCCACTCAGGCCAGTCAAACGCGCCAAGGTGAGTTGTCTTTTCTTTTTCTTCTCTCTGTCCTCCCATTCTTAAGTTTGCTAAAATTGTATCCTCTCTAGAGATTCGATATTCTCCGTGTCGTGTTTCGTCGCTTAGGTAGAGCCCCTTACGGGACACTCGGAGGACATCTGTCGGGATGTATTGAGTTTCGTGGAAGTCGATCGCTCGTATTAAATGGCGCTTTTGTGATAATGGATTTTAGGATGGCTACTTTGTAATTGGTAGAGTCAGGCCTGGAGTGTACAGTTACTGGTGTTCATTTAGTGTACTCGATCATGGGTGTTCAGAGTTTTAGGAAATGTTTATTGCGTGAATTCTTATACAGGGTGTTCGTTGTAATAGTATCCACGATAGTCGATGTTTTGAACGTCCTTGTTATTGAATGATAGTACTTCATGTGTTACCAAACTTCAAAATACTTTGCATCTCTATTCCGCCTAGATGGCACTGTAAAACATTCGTTACAAGATTCTTGAGGTTCAAATGAAGTGCATAGCGTGACGAATCTTCTGAAATTTCTTGCAATCGATAAATGATAGATTGCTAAACGTATCGTTCGGTTTTTTTTTTTTGTTAAAGCTACAGTTGGAAGCGCAATGGACAACGGTGGCCTGTGGACGGACGCGCGATCAACTCGAGATGACACGAGCTGCCCGGCGATTCCTAAGTAGCCACGGATACTTACCGTTGCGCCCCCGTTCCCTGAACTTCTGAGAGCGTTTCTAACAACCGTGTCGGGGCTCGGTCGCACTTCGTGGTACAAAGGAAAAACGCGACGTTGAACTAGTCGTAGTTTAAAACTATGTGGCGCTGCCTTCCGTTTAAGGAATACGGCCTTCTTTTTTTCTAATCGGATACGAATCGATCGGACGAGTTTAAGGAGGAAGCAAAAAAAGAGAATAGAAAGCTATTAGAAAATTTTACACCGACTGCGTAAGGATACGCTGTGCATCGGACCAGTATCCACAGCGAGTAAAATAATAATGGATTGACACAGCTATAATCGAGTCGAAATCAACAGACTGCTCAAGGTCACTGAAAGTTCGTGGTTTCTATGTCAGAAAATTCGAATTCTTAGATGAAGAAACGCATTTTGATTTATTATACAGAAAACCAGACCTTCCGATCAGTTGATTTTGAATCATTATAGATATCCCGATGCACACCGTGTATGATACAAGTCGAATTTTAAAAGAACCACGGTGCAACCAAAATTGCATCTAAAAGGAGAGGGGGGATGTCATGTGCTTTTTGAACACTTCCGTTTGCTGTTTGTTGTTGGCGAGAGTTGTGTAAAACATGAATGAACCGCAAAAACGAAAGCAAAGCAAAATACACGTCTGCCTTTTCTCATTGGGGATGATAAGAAGTTGGTACAAGATTGCACTACGCGTTGTGTGTAAAAGAGCCATTTGTCTACTGGAATCCTCGCTACATTAATCGTCTCGGATCTTGTACGTTGCTTATAATACGTACGTAACGAGAAAATTTTATTCCCGATTTTGTTTGTGGACGAACTAGTGGAATAACGGTTACGTCGGATAACCGTTCGCGCAGCGTGTAGCGACCTCTTATCACACTTATTCATGAGAAACGTAAGGTGAAAGAATGAAGTAATAGCCGGTTTATTTGATACAATAGTATATATTATATATAATATAAAACAAAAGCATTATTGCGGCCGTTATGTACAAAGAGCCTTTGTAACTGGTATTTAATTTACAACTGAATAATAAAGACGTGATGATAATCACACCAAAAAAGAAACGTGGTCACCACCGCACCGTCTCGATCCTCCTGTAAATAGCAGGTGGTACACACACCGTGACTTGATTCGTGCGGCCGGTAACAAATACGCTATCAATGTGCTAAGACGTGTTTTATGTATAATAGACCTGGACATAAATTATTTAATACAAAACCGAAAACGATATTTGAAATAATGAATCGTTTCAAGACATTTGCTATAAACTCTTTCTTAATAATAACTTAAACGTAACTTCGTTTCGTATCGACATAAATTATTATTTCAATAATAATCTTCAATTTAAATTAAATGCTTTACGTAAGATCGTATACAATGATCATGAATTCTAGACACACAGAACTCAAGTGGCTTCATAAAGCGTTATTCATCTTAAAAAGTCAGATTGAATGTCATTAGGTTAAAAGCTAATCAATAATTCAGAGACAAATTTAATTTGCTACATCGAATAAATTAACAATATTTATAGTTATCCGAACATTATTCCTGCTCGAGTAAAATAATTCATTATTTGAATAATCACTTTCAAACAATTTCATTGAAATAATGCCCAAGTCTGACGCGTATAAGTAAATAACGAAAATTCAGTTTTCGGCGTACGTCAGCGTGCTATTCATTCAGAAAACTTGGAATGCCATGGAATGGATAAGAGGTAAGTGCTGTGATCTCCAGCTTGATCTTGCTCGACGAAGAATTCGAAATTGTAAACTCGCTCCCCAATGAGCAACCGAACGATCTCACGATCACAGTAAGGTTATGCCTGACCGACTCGAAACCAGTTCTGAGCTTCGAACGGAACAGTTTATTTCGAAACGTGTCCCCTCGGGACTTCACGGCTCGAAGGTACACGTTTATATCTCATATCGGGAGTCGAATTACAGAGTCTAATAGTACACAATCATCAAACAGTACAAACAGGACACGATTATTAATACAATATGAGCGATCCAATGAGCATCGAACGTAATTCTAAGGCTGTTTCCATCCCACGCATTTCTTAACACGTTCTAGGCCCCCTAGGCCTTTTTCCATGACTTTTCGTTCACGGTCACATGGATCATCGATGGCCCACTGGGCGCAGAACGTGTTAACATACGTTAATGCCATGTCGAAATCAGGATTCTTCACAATAGCGTTCGTCAGAACATTTAGTACAGTGTCACCAATTACACTGTAGCCTTTATGGTCCGACCTTCGTTACCAATTATATTGTACATTCTTTATGGTCCGACCTCATTCCTCATTTATTCTATCGTAACATCCAAACTGTAGATATAAACTAGTTCCTCGATTCCTCAACTAGATAATAATCTTAAGAGGCATGTGCGATATATCGAACATTTTCATCGCTGAGACTAATCGATTTCTATGCTTCAGTTTTTCTTTCTTCCAAATTTAACGATCCAAAACGAAACCTCATTCCGCGAACATTTATCGTACAAAATGAGCTAATTCGTCTTACATAGCTACAGAATTGAGAATATATCGTTGCGATTAATGCCTTTTCGTCCAAGAACCGACTGTTCCCTTACGAGTAAGTAGAGTTTTCCTACTTAATTATGAAAATGAAAGAGTCGTACTGAAAGCGAGATTGAGAGGAAATGAGAGCCCATAGTGAATGAAAATAAGAACACGTTAAAATGGAAACACATTGTCAGGTTAAGTGAGCCCATGTAAATGCGTATCGCTTTAAAATATATGAGTGCGAAATTTCCATTATTTAAATTACATGTCACCAAGTAGAGCTTGGAAATTCACATAACACCACGCGACACACATGTGTAACCCTATAAATGACTCGACGAGTTTGTATATTTTATCATGTCCGCATGAGTTCACAAGATACAACGGACCATGTGTTTCCATCTTTAAATCGTTGTCGCGCAATGCGTTTATCCGAACCCTGATTACACACACGTCATTTTGAAGGCATACGGGTGCGTATCATTGATAAATTCTCAAAGAATCGTCATACGTCAGGTATCAGGTTTGTTAACGTCACCCAACTATCTGAGATTCCCCCACGCATTTTGTTCTTGAGACGAATGGATGCTAACACATCAAGAATACCCGAAGCAGATCCTTGACTAGACGGCGATCTTTTCGAAAATTGCGCGCGCGCGAGATACGATTTCATTAGCGAATAGAATGCGTTCTTATTAATTAATAATCTCATTGTCGTTCTATTTCTACGTGTAGCTGCGTAATGTAAAATCGGGGAACTATATACGTAGTAGATAATCATAGAGGAACTCTTAGCTGATTACAACAATAGCTAAAAGGGGATTCGTGTTTTTTTTTTTTGTTGTTTTGACTAGTACTACGGTACAATGTTGGTTGTTGAATAGCATTTACGAAAAGATTGCATTGAACGAAAGTCACGCACAGCAAACTGTAAGAATCTCTGTTCAGCATAAGAAATCAAATCAAAAACAGCGCGAGAAGAATTTTGGAAAAATGGGTGACACCCCCACATCGTGTCACGAGTAACGGAAACATATAATCATCAAACGCAATCGAACGACTTTCATATTCATTTCCAGGATTAATATATTCGTGTTACGCATCATGACGTCGTATCACGGACATTTAATCCACTTCAACACGGCTTTCAACGAGCAACTGATGCTTTGAATTAACCGCTACGTTTCAGCCATCTGACAAAATAAATTCTATAAAACAGTGTGAAAACAATCAACAAAAATGTATCAATTTGCTAAAAACAAGTAAAGAGGTAAAGGCCTTCTCCTACTGTCTTTTTAAAAACACTTAGGAGCGACACTTTCTCGAAACGATTACTCCTCATTGGCTCTTCAATACTCGGAGTTTTGCCGTTGTGATTTCTCTTCGTCGCCTGTGTTCGTGCTGCCTCCAGCTGTGTCATCCAACGTTTCAGGATCTGCTGAAAGTTCGAAAGGTGTCACACTTGGAACTATGCATGTACAGGATAAAGTTCCCAAGTATAACACTGATTTTTCATTAGATTTGCGGTGAAACGTTCGTGTTACATTCAGGGACCTTCCCTTATAAACTTTAAAACCAAAGAAGTAGAAGGGATGAGTACATCGAAATTTACCTGGAGAAGGAGATGCTTTAACCCTGCAGGTGTTGTAACTTCCACAATTTAAACATTTCAAACCTACAACGTGAAACTTCACTGTTGATTCCTGAAATGTTAAAAAGAGACTATTAAATAGAGTTCGATTTCCGGCCCGGTACCCGACCGGTCGATTCTTTTTCACAGTATACATGTCTAAAAATGAATACAGCATACCTCATGGCAGTCTTTGCAGAGAATATCAACCTTGAAATCTCTATACTCTTCTGGCATTGGTGTCAATGACACTTCCATATCTAAAAATCTCCATAAATCAGTCATATCTAGAAGAGACACCTGGCAAATGGGGCACGCATAATGCCCTGAATGTAACAATTCTTCAAAACAGGGACGATGTAGTAAGTGACCACAGTCTGGAATGTGACAGGGTATACGACTCGTGTGAATGTCCTCCAGACAGACAGGGCAATTGGCGTGTGAAACGTTTTCCACGCACTGAAAATATCAGAGAGGTCCTGAAGTTAGTATCTTCGACTATATATATATTTGTAGAAGCATCTGTTCATTCGATATATGGAGTATATACTGGGATAAGTTAAGATTCCTTTGGTCTGACTATTCCCAGGACTTACTACCAGGAAATAATGATAAATGCTGCACATTGAAACGCACTAAAAACCCACACTTGGCAATCTCAGTTACACTTCAATCGAGGAAAACTGTAATTACCCCCACCATTAAGAATCACTGTCAGATGTTTTACACTTGTGTGTGAACAGTGTCAATTGCAGTTCTTTAATCAGACCTACAGAATCTATTATCCACGCGACAAATAAACAGACACTTCCACAACTGCACAGATTATTTACCGTGTGTCCGTTCTGCAACTGAACCGGCAAACACATGTTGCACTTGGCACAGTGGAAGAAACGGTCGCGACCACCGATCCTGCATATTCCACAGCTATCGCAGTGATACTGATTCCTGTCCTCGTCATCGAAGAGGTTGCATTCGAGACACGTGTACTTGCCGAATCGGCAATGACAGTTCTGGCAAGTTGCTTGTACCGGTTGACGGGTGTCACACAAGACGCATATCAGTTCCGTGACTTCCTTCCTATTCACCGTGTGGGTCTCCCGTTCGTCGTGGCAGAATCGGCACGTGTATACCTTGTTGCAGCAGGGTGTCTGAAAACGAACAAATTGTCACGAATCGTTGCGAAACCAATGAACTTTCGGGTAAACACATGATCAGATTCTATATCAAAGAATTGACTTCAGGTGCAGAACCACGTCCTAACCCCTTTACATCTTGTAGGGGTGTTTCTCGAGAAAATATTTCAAAATTCCATCCGAATATGACAAAAATATACCCTTAACGATTGTTGTTTAGAAATCGAACGGCTCCCATAATAAGCCTATTAGGCCCCATATATATCCGTCCTTGATCCATAACCCTTCCATCGCAGCCGGGCGCGTATAAACGTCCGGCAAATCCGTTCGGCGAGAGCATAAACATAATACTGTCTACATTCACTGAACATGAAAACAAACTATAGTTCGTAACTGGATCCGTGTTCCACGTCTGGTTCAGTTCAATATTCAATTACAATTAAATTGTGATATTATAAACGTACTAGGTACCCTTTCTCATCTGAAATAGTTCTGTGCCTGATTCTACGTAATATACATTTTTACTTTAGCTTGATTTTTGTTTATATTTTATACTATCGCCTCGAGTTACGTTTTACAAATAAGAACGTTTCTCGGTGAATTGTAATCCCAAACGGAATCATACGAAAAGGTTCGCTGGAGTTACCGTAACGTACACTTTCCCCGTACAGTATCTACATACATAATCAGCGCTTCTTCAGCACGTAAGCCTATCTAGATTATTCACAGCGCGTTGTATCCCCTTGGATAATATTTGCAGCGCAACGATTTCGGTGTCTTATCTATCTACTCCCGGGTAAACAATATAAACCGGCGTAAGAAAACTGAAATCGAAATCAGATGAACAACGCGTGTTCAGTTTTCGGACAGCAATTAAACGTTGACATTAACCATTTTACAACGGACAGATACAGTTTTACGATTGTTTCGGCCCACAGCGCACTCTCAAAAAAATCTCTAGTTCATGATACTCTCAAGTGTCTCTTTCGCTGTCTCTAGCCATATTCCCTAAATTGGGTTTGACAATTAGCGACCGTTAGAAAACGGTTTCGGAAACATTCGAATTTTCATCTGTTCATACAATTGAAATGGAAACCTTGCGAGTAGTTTTCTTATCTTTTGTTCGTTACTCTTGGTACTCTTTGCCTAGATAACGAATTTACCCATCACCAACCGACAACGTGAAGTTTCCCCATGACAAACATTACGCCTCCGCCGGGTACTCCTATTGCTTCAACAATTCATCCGTATTCTGACGCAGATAATTGGCCCTTAGTCGACGTAGAAGAAAGACCGATCGCCGCCAGTAGCGCGCGACATTTGACTTATCGCGGCAATTGGTAAGGAACACTTCGAAAGAGGGACTCTCGTTACACAACGCAACACACCACGAAACATCATCGATTTGTTTGCTGTGCACACATATATAACGCATCGTACACGTGCACGGTCGGGGAAGGCGCGCGCGCTAACGCGCACTCGTGCACGCGACGCGGTGGTTTTCTGCTGTTTACCCGTTTGGATAGGGACAGAAAAAGCTTCACAGGATTTCGGAATCAGTCGTTAATTGCAAGACCGCCACGCCGTATATTGTATCGATTGCCCGCCAAGTTCAAGGGTAGCCGCGAAGGTATCGAATTTCGAATACCTTCACGCGGCCCGATGCGAGATAATCGAATCTATTCGATTCCCGATATGTTAACAGGCCAAATTGATCGTGGGATAATTTTAAAGAATTCTTTAGAACAATTATAAATACGAACAGGGGGTTGGCATTTATGAAAACACTACGTACACCTGCTTATATCGATAATTGTTAAATATACTATCATTTTATGAAATATATAATTACTGTATCAACTGTATTATCACATTCACAATACGTTCGATCGACAAACTCGTTCCAGAAAGAACGCTGGAAAATTCTAGCCCTGGTGAATTCCGAAGCGACGTTACGCGAATTAATAATATAATTAGCCCTCAATTGGTGGTCATGCGTCACTTAAGGAAATAATTTCAGTCGAATTAAACGTTTTACATAAAGAACATCGATCGAGTCCCGTTATGTCGTATCTGGCGGACTTCAAGGAAGAGAGAGAAAAAAAAAGTTATTCGAAATTTCGACGAACGCGGCTGCAAACTGGTCGATGATGTCACGAGAAGCGAAGGGTTAACGAGATCAAAGTTACCGTCCTCCCTGACACGTTCGAAAGATGGTCTCGCGAATGAAATCGCAATTATGAATACCCTCGCTGAACGAACGAGAGAGTTTAGTCTCGGCTGAGAGTGTGTTGCGGGTGAAACCGTCGACAATCAGCGGGGGACCGCGTGATCGAGATGTCTAATACAGATCGGCCGGGAGCCGTTAAACGTTAGAAAGGAGAATTAGCCCGGGCGAAGGGAGAAGAGAAGATGGTACTTACAACGAACTTGGACTTTCGCTTGTAGTGCTTGCAGCCGTAATCGTCGTCGGCGGAACCGATAGGTGACGGTTCCTCCTTGGACGTTGACGCGCGTTCGCCAATTGTTCGCCCTTCGTCGTTGTTCTCCATCGTGTCGCGTTGTTCCCGAAATTCTTGCCTCTTTCTCCTCCGCCGCCTGCTTTTTCCCCATCGACTCACCCGTCCTTTCCAGATTTTCTCGCGGCAGCAGCGTGTCCGATTAACACCGCCGGTATACAGTTTGTTTGTTTAATTAACACGCTGGCGACGATTCGAACGCGACGGCAGAGAGAAAGAAAAAAAATAGAAACGACGACAACGACGAGGAGAGCACGTTTAAAGCACGCGGCGGCTGTCCGGAGCCCGGGAACTCGTATGCGCGCACAGTTACAGATCCCGTCAACCCGAACCGACGGGAAACGTCTCGAGTCTCGTGTAGCCGTTCACGAGCCAGAAATTCCGCCGTGCCATCGTCGTAACGATTTTCCACGGGGAGGCTCTCGCCCGAGATCCGTTCCGGGGATCGGAGAACTTCACGTCGTCGAGCACACGGACGCCAATTACGATCACGGTTCTTCTTCACAACGTTACGAAACGTTCCGCGACGATACACCAGCCGCTTCGTTCGGTAATTTCAGGGAAAAGCGACCGACACTCGACACTTCTCTGATACCACTTTGCTTCGCTGTACTATCACCACGGTGTAACGATTACAACGACGGGCAGACGACGTTAGGGAAAAAAAACGATGCGAAACCACGGACGGAAATTGCGACGATATTACGAAGTACCGTGTTCCGTCGCCGTGCGCGCGCGTTTCAGCCTGCAATATTCGAATGTCACTAGCTGCGCGTGCAACGAAACAGTTTCCACTAGGGGAAGAAGTGTCGTACGGAAGGATCTCCTGCTATTTGGTATCGAGAATTATTGAAATATGTGTCGAATTAACATTCGATTTAACATTTATTTTAGTACTTGAAATCAATGTACCAAGTGGTAGGAGGCCCTTCTCTCACGCCACTTTTTCCCCTAGTGGAAGCCGAGTTTGCTCGCGAGTGTACTGTGTAGTAGGTGATAGCACAGACGAGATATATGAATAGACCTAACATGCAGTGTAATTTTAAATATATATTCCAATAAACATACGTCAGGTAATATAAGCTTCATTTCATTGAATTGTCTTAAATATAACTGCATAATTATTGTACAATCCTATACTAATTATAGTTGCCTGGTTCAACAGGTTACTACAGAAACTAACTACTGTGCCTACGTCTTTTAAACTTGGGCTGTAGTAGTATCTGCAGAAACTGCCATGATTGCTGGGTTACTATATAATTTGCTCACGGAAGCACGCACAAGTGTCAGTCAGATTTCGACAGTTGCACGAGCAACAAAACTCTTATGCCTGCTCCGGAGGTACTATGACCCTACTTCCTCACACACACGGAGTCTCTGACGCCTCCTCCGGGGGTCCTGTGACCCCACACTCTCGCCTACAGGTGTCTGGCACCTCCTCCGGGGGTTTTGTGACCCAACGCTCTCGCCACAAGGGTCACTGGCGCCACCTATGGGTGTTCTGTGACCCCACGCTCTCGCCACACGGGTCACTGGCACCACATATGGGGGTTCTGTGACCCCACGCTCTCACCACACGGGTCACTGGCGCCACCTGTGGGGTTCTGTGACCCCACGCTCTCACCACACGAGGTCTATATCAGTGTATATTTCTATCTATGATAACAGCTCGTTAGCAGACCTAGAGAGCGCCAGCTGTGTCATAGAAATTTCGTGTTCATAGGGTGGCTGTTAGTATTAGTTCGCTGGTATCATTCATGATCATTTCGATAGGGTGGTACGTGTGATAGATAACGATGGGTGTTAAGCCCTGAGTGAAAAGTCCGTAAAGTTTGTTCGCTCCGATCGTTAATCGGAACGTTGAATTAGTGTATCGTATTGGGGTGACATTGAAAGTGTTTCATAAACAGTGCAAAATATACGTTCACTGATGTTGAAATGAAGCAAAACCACGTCATGTATGGTGACTCACGAAAACTATGCGATAAGCATACGCAGTTCGCCCCGCACGGGCTCTGTATTCCGTCGGATTAATGATCAATGGCTTTATTTGAGAAACGATATACGAATAAAGTGCTGCTAGATGATACGGAGAAGCTGATTAGCGTCATTGAAAATGCAAGAACGATCGACGGACACACGGTACGGCGCACGCTTAACGCGTATATACGTACATTACATACATACATCTGACATTTGCTCGATAAGAGGCGACACTTACGCACATCCTGCTTAGCCACAATATCGTATCGTTGGATCAAATGACAGATCTCTCTCGTTACGTCGACATTCTCGATCTTTCTGTCACTTGCTCACGGATTCGTGTTTTATTACTCTGTAGAATGGAAATCTACATCTTTCCGGTATTTTACACCGATACACATGAACTGTCACGTTCATACGGAACTATTACTCATAATATTTTCAAAAATTAGCTTACTATTCCCGGAAAATGTTGAACGATGAAGTTACAATTACTAAATTCAGGATGTTTATGCAAATATAGATTTTTGTAGATTAATTTACGGAAACTCGAAGAAAAAAATTTATATTATTGAGACTTCAAGTTTTAAAGAATAGGAAAATCTTAAAAACTTTAAAAAAGCTTTCTATTCTACGTACTTTTAGACAATTACATGTGGTATAAATGTACAAAGTCCATAAATTTAATCACAACAAGAAGAAAGGCTATATTTGATTAGTGTGTAAGCAATTCATTTATTACTTGAACAAAATCAATTAACGTTGATATGTACAAAACAGTTGACAAGAAATTATGCATTATAAAGATGTGTATAACTTTTGATATATTTAGGAGTACGTGATCAGAACACAAAGAGGTCCACTACCAGATAAATCTTGGAGAGTTAGCAGACGTTACAATGACTTTATACAGCTCAATGCAGCTTTATCAGCTTCAGGCCTTGACTTATCTCTTCCTCCAAAGAAAATCATTGGTAACATGGAACCAGACTTCATAGCTCAGCGTCAAATAGCACTACAGGTCAGTGGCAGCTAGTGATGGGTCATCAGACTGTTTGAACATGTCTGATCTTCTGACGAGAAATTCGAACAGTGCGAACCTGACAAGGCGTTCGGACTCCCGAAAAAGTTCGAATACTTCGAACTGACCTGCGGCCGGCAACCAACTCTCGACCTAGAATGTAAACAGACAGAATAAAAATTCAAACTACCAACTCTCTTCAACTTCACTTCTTTCATGACAAGTGTTATGAATAAGTTCATTCAAACGTAATTAATTAATTTTGACTGATACGTAATGTTGCAATTCGAATTATGTATTATTGAAAAGAATAGCAGTTAAAATTTTTATTACGTCTGTGTACATTGTAGGCCGATGGTATTGGTCGCTGACGACCTTTCGGACTGCAAGGCAAGAAGGGTATCGATAATCGAGTTGGAGTTTCGAGCCGTTTGGCCCACCGGATTGGCCTGAAATGTTCGAACTTGTCTGTTCGCGAACCCACCACTAGTGGCAGAATGATATTGGCATCGTCTCTTCCTATGAAAAAATTCCTAGATCCGGAAAATTATACAGCACCATTACATGGTATGATCTGATTATAATAATCTAAATAATTTAATGAATGTAATTAAATGTAAATTGCTTATAATTCAGACGAAACTAATTGTTTTAATCGGCTGATCTTACTTTTTAGAAATAGCTCTGCAACAGGTGTCACTAGCTCTACGCAGTGATGCAAACTATGAAGTCCTCAAGGCCATTCCTGACATGGGATGGCGGCTGAGGAAGCATTATTACACGGTTAAAAATCGTCAGAATCCAAAGCAAGAGTTATTGCTTGCATGGGTAGAATTTGGCCCAGACAAACATCTGCACGATAAAGATATGCAAGGTGTTTTCAAAAGCTTAGGAACCTTAAAACACAATTATATAGAACCAATTGTTTACCAACACGTGACAGAGACCGGAGCGTTAATGATAAGAAACTTCCATCAGGCGGGTACATTACGCGACACTTTGTGCGTAACCAAACCAAAGCAACCATTCATAAAAAAGTATGGAAACCCAAAACAAACCAAATCTTTAACAGTGTCTGAAATTGCAATGTATGGTTACCAGGTCGGTTATAGTATTTTTGCATTAAGATAATTGGTTAATATACCTGGGAACTAAATGATTCTTCGATATTTCAGATTTTGGAAGCCTTAGGATTTCTTCATGAGAAAGGCCTACCGTATGGGCACTTACATACAGGCAACGTTCTTCTGACTCAAAGATGTGCAAAATTGTTAGATATAGAAAATGGTCTTTTAGGCTTGCCTGCGTTTTATCGACCTTACGTTGTGCAAAGACGTAAACTCCATGCCACGGTACAGTGATAATCACATTTCATATACGTCGCGTGCATTAATTGTACGAATAAACATGTAATTTATTCTAACAGACCCAAGTGGACGTTTACTCGTTCGGGCATGTGCTGTACGAAATGGCTTTTGGTAGACCACTTTTAGAGGCAACATGCTCCGAATTACCGTACTGCGAGGCCGGACTAAAGAACCTGTTGGAAGTGATTTTATCACCCGAAGATTTGAAACAAGATCTACCAACAATACCACACTTACTGGACCATCCATTTTTCGAATCGGCTAGACGTGCTGTGCTGGCTGTTGGATCTGTGGAGAAACCACACTTTAAGTTAAGTAGTCATTTAAAGGAAGCTCTCCACGAAGCGGTGAACAAAGCAGAACAAAGACTGAAAGACGAACAAAAGGTGGCTAGGCAACAGAAAAGGTTTGCCAAAGTTCAAGAGATGATGAGTTCGGAAGAAGAGATGAAGAAACGAAAACAGAAACTGGTAAATACCTTGTGCGTGATATTAATGGTGATATAGAATTGGAAACAAAATTAATCTTTTTGTGTCCGTAGAAAAAGGAACAAAAATTGGCACAAGAGCAACGTTCTGCGAACCAGTTGAGTACAAACGGATTGAAGCAACTGAATGGCAAGAGTCCAGAACGTTCAGACAGTCCTACAAGCACTTCCACAGCCACCAGCGTTGGAACCTTAACTCCGCCATCCTTGCGTAAGTATTTGAATACCTACTAGTCGGTATCATTAATAACTAACATTAATCTTCCCCAATGTTTACATTAGCTGGACACAAAAGTTGATGGCGCATACTACGCTTATTCCTTTCACGTAGGTCATACTTGATCATTCATTAAACATTGACTAATATGCATTTATACATGTTCTCATCTGATCATTGCTTGGATACATATAATAGAGCAGAGTGTGTTTTTTAATTGTGATTTCCGGACGTTTCTGTAGATTTTCTTCCTTACCGTTTCGGGTATATGTGTTTTCCATTCATAGTATTTTACGGTAGATATACTGTATCATTGATCATAGTACAAGCGTCTGGTGTAGTGCGTGTCCAAGCGATGTCGTACAAATATCGTGGAAAGTTACAAGTATATTTAACTTAAGGTTCTGTAGATGTGCCGCAAGGTGATGGAACTACTGGTAAGGGTCCTATCCCACCGCCTCCAATGCCACCATCTAACGGCGTAGCCGACAACGTCCCGAAGGCGACCAACGAGCGGACCGCTTTGCTCGGAAGTATTTGTAACTTTAACAAAACTAGTCTTCGCAAAGTCGCTAATGGGCAACGTTAAAACTATAAGTTTAAAAAAAAACGGATGGATATTTGATAAACAGTCCTATTGGTTAACACCCTCAACGGTGTTTATAATTATTATTTCGATCGCGATACTTGTGAAAATAATGGAATTCGAGATTTTTAAGGGGCTGAAAAGTGTACGTCGAATGGGCAAATAATCATTAATAGTGTTGCAAAATTAATCTATTTATAATGTACAGGGTGCGATAGTAACCGTTATCTGAACAGTTTTCAGAATTGTGAAATCAGAGGAGAAATTTGTCTAATAGAAATAATATGATGAGTGGGCGGTTATATGGTACTGATCCCAAAAGTCTGTAGGTGGAGTTACCTTCGAGATTTACACGGTCATTTGTTCTAATGTATTCCTGAAAAAAACTCAAAAGATATTATTGCAGTAATAGTTACTGTTTTACCTTGTATATATTATTCATCTTGAAAATATTAGCTGCACGACTAATTGCTAATGGCGGTCGATATTTAAATATTATCCGCTGGAAATTTTATTTCTTCAGCACCGTCCAAAGTCGGATTTGTGATTGTGAAAAATGAAGTATGAAAAATATTTTAAAAAGACGATCTTTTATATATCGTGATTGTATGTATGTAATCGGACACAGTAGTCGGATAATCGGTATATTTAAGTAGAAAATAATTTGTCCTCTGACATTGTTATGTGTAAGAATCTAAAGAAATTTCTCGAAAAATACTGATCAATTTTATTCGTATAATGGTACCGTACTAATAATCATCAATGGATGTATAATATAGGTAAGAATGACAATGATTGTGTAAACAATAATTGGTTACTGTTAAAATTCACTTGATTATACCCAAGTTTCGCGATCATAATTTTTAACCTGAAAAAAACAGAAGCTTCTGTACACAACGCGTAAATTTCGCCTCGTTAATGTTATTGTACCGTTCTGTCTATTCAAAGTTTATGTGTAACCTATTAATGTACAGTTCGATCGACAAGTCTGCGTGAGTCTTGTTCGTCTTGTGAACGTATTGTATGTTGTGTTCGTTGCGTCGATCGTAGAAACGGAACCGTTCGTTTCTACGAGGTGGGTAAATGTGCCAAGAAATGTATATGCGATCTTCCCATTGATGAACAGGGAAGTTTATGGTGGTAAACAAATGTAATCTATTTCTATATGTCAAGAAAAAAAAACATATATATATATATATATACGCATGTACATGTATGAGATCTGTTTGTGAATATGGTGGTAACAGAACTGTGTAATATAGTCGCGGCGATTTTCGTATGTGACATTCAGTTTTAAATGTAACTTGTTGATTTGTCCATGTAAATGCTATTATTCATAGAGTTATATAAATATTTGTTTTATCAAGAATCATGAAATCGGAATTAAAACGAAATCTTATATATTTATCAAGGAACAAAAGTACGAATCATATATAAATTCAATAGGTTCTCGCACACTTAGCGGTAATAAAATACGTAAAATTAAACGGGATCATATTGCGTTTACAGAAAGAATTCATTCGATCGTTTCGTAACAGTTACAATAATACATCTCAAATGTGAAAAATAATTTATTAAAACGAAATAGTTGCGTAAAGAGAGGTATCACATTGCACTTTTTAAATAATAATCTTATTCCATAACAAATTTCAACGCAGAAAGATAATTTTCATGTAGAAGATATTTTACTACTCTCTACGGAATTTTAATAAATACAAGATATGCATATCTTTGCAGTATTTTTATCATTCAAAGGATCTTTAATACTATATACTGTAAATTCTCGATATATCAAAAATATATATGTGTGAACATCGCTGTCTAAATGTGTGTGATTGTATTCGTGAGCAGTACAACTGGTCATGTTTTATGCGCGTACAATAGTTAACACAATTCGTTTTAAAGACTATCAAATATGTCAGGTTCTAGGAAAAATTTCTTCTTATTGTATCTTCCATTCAAAATAACATTTCTATTTCCATATAACTGTATTCCGTCTATGCACAGTAGTACAAAAGTTCCTCTTTTTTTTTTCTTTCTTTCTCTTTTTTTTAGTATACACATAATAAACTCAATGAACATACAAGATTGCATTACGCTAACCGCGTGGTCACAAATTATGGAGCTCTACAATCCATTGAAGTTTTGTGCTTGGAGACCAGCGATCATTAACAACACAGTGGCACTGTTTTAACGTTTATGTTCCAGAGCTATCGTAATTTGTGAATATATTTAAAAAAATTTGTTCTATTCGCAATCTTTGTGAAACGTTATTTAACAACGGTTACGCCTATGTACACGTATGTATGTATATACAATGTTATCCACGCAAATCGTGTGTCACTGTGAGAACGTATATGGCATTCTTGATTAAATCGGGTGGACTTGTATTTCAATTAAAATCCGAAACCAAGTGTCACGAGCTTGTTCTTTCCTAGGAAGTTTGAATCACTGCGGTCCCAGTACACGTGTATTACATTGTACAATTAACACAAAATATTTCTAAACGTTCGTCCTTAGGTGATCCCCTCCGATTAAAAAATCCCTGGCACGAGTATACCACTTTTACAGTCCATTATTAAAATTCCATTTGCATTATTATTGTCGTTTATTTTTATTATTATTTTTTTTTTTTTTTGGCAAATTAAAGCTAAATCGGGGTGGGAGTCCGATGGCCCCAACCGAGCATCATAACTTCTGATGAAGTTCCTCGGTTACGGTTTTTAATCTGAAAACAAAACACACGGGATTACTTTCAACCCAGTAGACGTCTTCGATGCCCTTTTATCCGCGCGAATACCGAAACGAAAGACGACCACAAAAAAAAACATATCACCTTAGAAGCTCTCCTTGAATTCGATCCGTGATCGCTTTCCTGGCTTCCATTTCGCTTGCTTTCGACATCCGTAAGTCGTTCAGTAATTCGCTAAAATCTATCGGGTCACCGTAATTCAGGGTGACCTTGTTCCAACCTTTCAATCTGTAGGGTGGTTCGTTCGGTAGAACTTGGTCCATGCCAAGATGGTAAATCGGAATCACTAGGGGCGTGACTGGCGATTCCAATATTAACCTTCCTACGCCCCACTTTAATCTACAAAACGGGCCAGAATATAATAATAAAAAATAGAATAATACGTAGCTGGTCACCAAAAAGGGGAGCATGCACGGATACGCCAGTGTGACCAACCGTTAAATGGAACAGCACAAAAGCCAAACCTAATGTTCTCTTTGAGCATGTTGACTTTCCCCTCGGGAAATACATGCACCCAATCCCCAGAGGCCAGCTTCTCGATGCAGAAATCCATCGCTTCCTGATAGACCCCGGCGCCTCTGATTACGGGTATACACTTGCCCAGCATAAAGAAGTAGGAATGCCAGGTATTCGTGAAACAAATGTCGTGCGCGGCGATCGACCATCTCATCTTAGATCGCTTCAGGAGATACCTCAGGTCCAGTGTCGCTAAATGAGTTCAGAGATTTTTCTGTCTTAAATTCTTTCATTCGATCGCTTATCGACGTCATTCTGAGAAAGAAAAGATTACATATGTCTCAGGAAAGGGGAACGTGACAAAGCGTGTCGGCTTAATTTGAAGGACTAAGAAACAAACAAAGGGGGCATCGTCAACTTTAAAAGTTCGCCGATGCCTCGGGATGATCTCGATAGCGTGCGTTCTATTTTAAATATTTGCTCCCCCCTCTAGTGTGGTAAGTGTCCCGTGCGTTTAGGATTCAGTGGAAAACCGCCTTAATCTTCGGATGCAAAATAGGGGAAGTCTATTTCTGGGATGACAAAAGGTTTCGAACTTTAGCATTGCGACTGATTGGAACATCGAGCGATTTGTTGAATATGTCCCAGACCTTATGTCATTGCATGGGATTGTTATTGAATTCTATAATCTTCTAATATTGTGGGAAAGTATTATACAATTGCATGGAAATCCTATTGGATGCTCAAAGCCACTTGGAGTTCAATCGAGTTAGTAATCGGTGGGTATAGCGAACTCGTGTAAGATTTTGAGCTATTATGGATGAGCTATTATGGAAATAAAATTAAGATCTTATGGTATGTCGGTCTACGATTCCATGGTTTGATTAGGTTGAAAAATGGGACAGTAGATGGCACAGATTAAATGCACAGCGTGGTGGGAGACACGTAATTCTCAGTGACCTTGAGAAACCAATTGATCCTACACCCCTAATTACGCCGACTCGATCTACGATAGGTCTCTTACATAATAGCTGAATCGAAGGGCAAGGCGAATGATTAAAATTCTGAATCGATGCAGTATCTGTTTAAGACCGCAATACGTCGAGAAAATTTATCTTATCGAATTACAAGAAACGCACACCGTTCTTAGAATACAGGTGAATACAATGACATGGATGACATTCGCGTATCCATTTGCACAATCATATGTTTACGGTACTAAACGATAAAGATCGAGCCCGATCGATGAAATAGCGTTAAGCAAGAAAAGAAAAACAGTCGATAAAAACGATGCAGTGGAATTCCAGTTATTATGTCTGAACTTTTACTACCTAAAGGCACAATGCCTCTTGCCGACGAGTGTTACCAAAGCAATATCACTGCGACAGTACAGTGTTATAGGTTCTTTTGTAAACGGTTCAAGGTCGACTGACGGTCGATGCATCGTGTGTGACAGTTTTATATTTGCTAGCTACAGCTGTAAGTCTAGAATATTATCGTCTTTTAATATGTTTAATATGTCTTTAATATGTCTTTTATAGTGCCATTTGACGGTGCGAATGAAATATGTCCAGCATAATGAATTCAATTTGGTATTCGTACGATCTAACAGTTATTCGAGAGGATTGAGTGCATGTACATATATACAAGGTGTCCCATTTAAATCGTTACCCACTCAAATATCTCCGAAACTATTGAGAATATTAACAAAAGTTTCAGACGAAATTTAAATGGTATCAGGGGCACACTTTCTGATGCGAGCAACTTTTTATCCATGTGGACGCGTAGAGGTCATATGAAATCATATATTTTTTAATATAGTACTTGATGCTACTCGTTATTCCCTACCTAAAGTATAACCCTACCTAAGTAAAATATTTTTTGATATCGTCAATAGTTTCGGACATATTTCAGTGGGTAAATTTAAATGGAACACCCTGTATATATATACGATTCACACATATGCGACAGTCTCCCCGTTATCTGAACCGAGAGGGTTCGGATAAATGGAGTTCCACAGTAATTGTCGAACGGCTGAGAGAGAACTTACCCCAGATGCCTGGATCGTCGAAGCAACTGTGATGATTCGAGACCGTGATCAGGGGAACATTTTTCGGCCGACAGTCTAGCGCCCGTGTGATGATTTGCTTGTTGTACACCGTCGTTCTGTTCAGCCATTCTTAAACAGCACGCAACAGAAACACAAACGCTTCGGTAAATTAACTCGCATTTCGAGGAAAGAGAGAGAAAGGGTGGGGAGGGGGGGTTGTGTTTAGCGGTGAGCTTGGAATGCGTTTAACTACGTAGAGGCCTCTCGCCGTAAAGCAGGCCTTTGCCACGACTTTACATAGAACCGACGTTTTTCCTTTTTTTTTTTTCGTAGCAAATGCCCCGCGAACCGTGGGTTACGTTCACCTTAGAAAATACTGCAACTTCAAGGCGAATCCGTTATATTATTTTCCTCGTGAAACTGTCTGTTTCTTTTCGTAACAGGATTATTTCCATGAAACGACCGATGCGATTATCTTCAAAGCTTGAGAATACGCGGAAAACATCTCGAGAAGACTTGACGGGGCCGTAAGTATTTGTTGAAGAGGAAACTGAGAAATATCAAGGTTATATTCGTAGGGTACTCTAAAACTTATACGGTCAAGATAATAGCCATTAAGCAAAGTTAAATCCCGATTTCCAATACTGATAACGCATCGGCGTGATTAAACACTTTTTACTATTTCTGCAGACGTAATTCGTTTCCAATTAAACACAAATTATGAATGTTCTCTCTAATGGCAGATTCGAGGGACCATTAAAGAAAACGCAATTAACCTTAAAATTTCGTTACAGTTTCTTAATGAGAAATATCGTTTCCATAGTATCTTCAAATTTTGAAAATAATTTCACGAGGTCTTCTCATACGAATCACCATTGTACAATAGCAGTGCATAAAAATGAAGCAACGTAAAAGTGATGGAACTGTGTATTCGATTAATTTTAAAATATATTGAATTGAAAAATAAATAGAGAAACGTATGAGCCAAGTGGTCGAATAAAATTCAGTCAAGTGATACTGAATACCAGTGAAATGAACGACGGTAGCATCGGCGCCCGTTCGCCGCTATTTCAACACGGAGAAATTGATAGAACGACCAAGAAGGGAGCAGTGGTGAAAGAGACAGCGGGGGGAAAGGAAGGGGGTACGGTATGTTCGCGTATGTCGCGTCTACGCGGCCAACCAATTGAGTAATGCGCTTAATTTCCGAAGTTTATTGTATCGTCACTAAGTAAACGCCGTACCGTCCTCGTAAATCACTGGTACTCACTGAAAGACCAGCGAGGGCCAATGACTGATTTCCTGTGCCCTTCGTTGGGCGGTAACGCATAGAGAATTCTACCTGAAATTAAAAACAACACCCAGACACATCGCAGCAGGTAGAATTGAATCGTGACGGCAAGACGTCGTGGTCCGTTTTCGGAGGTTACAAGATAGATTGAACAATTCTGACAAGTATACGTTAATTGATTAACAAATCGGTATTATCACACATCATCTATGTTAATTTTATGTTAATTATCCGTTTTAAATATTAATCTTGTGTTTCGAGTTACGACTACATTTTCGAACATACAGGATACAGGTCGACCTCTTCGATGCAATCATTTGAATAAATTTCCTGTAAACACATTACAACTCTTGCTTGTACCTGCGCAGATCCGTAGACGATTTCTGCATTGCTATTTACTCGTTTATTCATAAGGCGCGGGATCATGTATTAGTTAACCTACTTCTCCGTTCGTGTGAAAACAGATTTGAATATGCGCGCGAAATTTCAAATATTTCACTGCGCTGACGGAAAGAAAGTGAAGATGAGACGCGACGAACACAGATGTATGTTATGAGACTGTTTTTGTGTACGATTGTGTGATAAATACGATTGCATGGAAACGTAACAACTGTGCATAATAATAAATGTCAAGTGTAAATACGACCTCTGGCAGAAAAAAAAAAACAGTGTGACGTACTCGCGTGTAACGTGTTACATATTTTTTTCTCCGGACATGAACTGTTGACCACCGATATTACACTTCACATTTGAAATTTAGTCGATAACATCAATGACATCCGTTGTACCCGATAAAATCATGTGATTCGCGTAACAATGAATTTAAAACGTGTCTTGTTTATACATTGACGAAACACATACGAGTGACGAAACTCCAAATCATTTGTGTTTTCATTCAATTACCGAGCACGTCTGATTCTTCGTTCATTACTTCATTAAATACATAAAATATCAATGTATTTAAACAGGAAAACATTTAACACAGAATTTAAAGGCAATTAATAATCCACATGCAGGTTATGTTGGCCAAATTAAGTCACGGGACATAATTCAATGAGAGACTATCATAGTAACAATTAAATCAGACGATTTCATATCGTATGATTACAGAAATTATCGATGTTTTTTTTGCACGCGGTATTTTCGCGTCTGATCCGCGAAGTAACAATATGTTCAGCGACTCAATACCTTGGTTATCCTTGCCCATTGCAAATACGAATAACAGGTATTAACTATAGAACGTGCGACATCGAGCCAATGCATGCTAATACAAAAATTATCGAATTTACGACACTCGAAGGACAGTTTCTGGGGTGCAAATCGAAATAATCACTGGCCGAAGTGCGCGGCAACGTCGTGGAACAGGCAGCACTGATTTTTAACGCGAAAACCGGCTCGTGTAGCCTCTTACCTATAATGATTTTCGAGAAAATCCCTACTGCCGCGAAGGTTATACTGCTCGCGATGTTCCAGAGGCTGGTCGGGTTACGTAGCTTCGGTATAATCCACTTTATGTCGTATAACATTGCACTGCCTTCCGCTAGCTGGATCCGTCGAGGAAAACAGCGGTGCGGCACTTTTTCCGGACGATTGGGAAGCGACTTCCCCGCGAGAAATCGTCTACTCTTTCGTAACTCGCGACAACCATCTTCGTGCCAACTTCACGCCATATTTCCCGATATCTGTCACGTGGTCGGCCGACCCCAGCCGAATCCAGCCGAGCGTCGACGGCTATACCGAATCTATTTAATTTGAAATTAAACGCGCTTCGGACACTTGTTCTCGCCACGGTTAACGATATGTGTAGAAGTGTCCAGTGATTGGACTGATCACACGGCCCGGCTTCCCCCTGTAACGACATACACAGGCAAATACAGATTTTCGATTAATTGATGTTTGTACTGTAACGAGATTTGGAGATTGCCCGTGACCCTTGATCAGATTATTTTTATCTTCGTTTGTAAACTTAACCTATGTCCCTAATTTGAGATAATTTCGAAATACATAGTAACGTAACTAGCGATAAGTTTGGAGTCAGTGGTTTATCTGTGGGAAAAATTTGATCGTTGTACTTACGAAAAGAATTCATTGTCTGTACGTCCTTTTCATGGTGTATTAGAGATTAGATTACTGATTAACACGTGTAAACGACGAGACACGCAAGTGCCGTTTGTTATGCCTATTAGACTTAGTCAGGGGTATTACGCAATGTAAGTTGCAATTATTAACAAAGACATTTTCTGTAATGAGCGATGGTATCATAGTATTTATAGCCGGGAGTTTTCAAACGTATATCATTAATGAATTGCTTATGTAAGACAACGTTAAACAATGCTTAAAAAAAAATGTTTAATGCACATCCATTGTTTACTGAAGAAATCAAATGTCATTATTACGACTTATGTTATTAACTATGAAACGTAATTTCTTTGATATGAAGCACCTAAAAAGTACATATTATATTTTCACTATCACAGCAATTCGTTCACATACTTCTTGATCGCCGATTGGTAGAACGCGACGACGACAAAGTATCCCGCCCAATCAGAAACGAGGAACGACCAAGGGGTTTTCCTGTGGTCGCGGCAGAGTGGACAACTGTATTCTGTTCGTCGACTACTCTCGAACCCATCCTAGTTGCAAAAAAAAAACGACAGATATAAAAAGAAGCAGGGAAAATGTACCAGGAGCGCAGAACACGAAACAGCATCGTGCCGCTCCGCGAGGATAAACGATCGCGACGGGAGCCTCGTTTCGCGCGCTCGACCAAAGGAATATACGAAACGGGAATGCAAGAGCGGAGAATGCAAACACCGTACACACAGGATATACTTATTTCACCTTTCTGAATCGGTGGTGAATAAATTTATAGTCGCATTATCCTAAACGGTGGTAACACGGTCTCGTTAACGCGACTCGAAAATTGCACTGGGTGGGGGAGGGAAGTGAGGGGGGGGGACACTATACTACATTATAATAATCATGGCACGCTCGTAGCGCCGGGGTGTAATAGTAAAATGCCCGGGAGATCGGCGATAACCATTCACACGGGGACGACGCGGCGAACGGATGCAACAATAAGACCATAAGACCCAGAGTCCACGAAGCTGTGTGTGTGCCTCCGGGCGGTGACTCTGCACTTGCGATGTCAGCCGAACACCTATCAGAAGCTGCAACGGAAAGAACGCGAGCGGGGAGGGGTTCACAGGTAGGGGCAGGGGATCACGTACAAGGGAGAGGCATGTACACGACGACGATCACGGGTGTACATGCATTAGGAACTCTTCGACGCGGTAAGTTCATGCGCGCGCGCGCGCAAAAGAAAGGGCGAAGCATCGAGGAGAGCCGAAGGAGGTGAAAAAGAAGGGAAAAGATATACAATGATGCGAGGCAAAGTCCGTAGTAGACCGACCGAGCGCGGGGGAGGGACGGAGAGGAGAATGTCCGGTGGCATGTGGGGAAGTGGGGGGGAGCCTGACGCGAGGAGAGAAGCAACCAGTCGATGGGGCCACGGTAAGTGGGGGGAGGAAAAGGGCCTCATCTCAGCGGAGCCAGTCCGATTCGAGAGTCTCTCGACTGCGTGTGTTGCCGTGTGCCATCTTACCGTACCACGATATATACCCTTTATCTAGTTTAGAAATAATCCGCAGGTATATCCTCGAAAATACCGGAACCGTAGCCTCGAAACAGGGGGGGGAAAACACATCGAACCGGTCGGGGTTTCAAGAAGGTTACGAACAATTTCGCCGATTTGCGAGTTCGCGGTGGACTCACCGGTCATCCCGTAGGCTCTCTCTGTACCCTGAAACACATCGAACCGGTCGGGGTTTCAAGAAGGTTACGAACAAGTTCGCCGATTTGCGAGTTCGCGGTGGACTCACCGGTCATCCCGTAGGCTCTCTCTGTACCCTGACACGGAGAAGACGAGAGAAACCGCGACGATGTTAGTACTCTCGGCGACTGTGGACACGCGTCTTACGGTAAGACTGCCCCAACGACGATCGTTGAACCGCGAACAGTTACCGAATACGATCGTGAAAACGGTTCGCTGTCCCTCGTCGGTTGTGAGACACGAGATTTCGTGTGCGTCGTGATAGAGCGAGATAGAGAAGGGCACACGCGAAAAAAGAGCCACGGGGATCAAGGGGTAAAAAAGGACGAAAAAAAGACAGAGAGAGAGAGAGAGAGAGAGAGAGAGCAGAACCGGTGGAGTAGAGAGCGAGAGAGAGAAGAAACACAGAGAGGGAAGAGAGCGAGCCGAGCGTTCGGCTTAACTCCGAGTGCAGTGTACGGTGATGCCGCGAGGATGCCACCGTCGTCGGTCCTCTCGACACGATATAGAACGGCACGACGACGGTACCCCGTGATCCGACGGGGCCCCACGACTCCGTGCCACGACGTTGCCCCGATAGACGCGCGGTCCGGTGCAAGTGCAAGTGCAGGTGCGGCTGTGAAGTGGTGTTGCCGTCAGTTCGACGTTGTCGTGATCGTAATACGCGCGGTATATTACGGGCCCCGTGAAGGGATTCGCGGCGAGCGATGCGGGATAAAATCGGGACCCGTGTCCGTTGACTCGCGTGTGACACTTTTCGTATCGTCGTTCGTATCTACGCGTACGGGAATCTCGTCGTGCGACAGACGATACGTGATTTTTTGTTCGAGACCAAACTGGAATATCGACGCGTTCGACACAGAACGGAAAAGGAGATTCCCATCGAGCGGTTTTACGTTCAAGAGTCTCGGGCTATCACGAGCAACGACGTAGCTTCAGCATCCCGGGCTACAGAGAGAAAGCAACAGGTACTGTGTGTAGTACGCGTTCCCGTATTCTCTCGATGGTTGGCACGTTGTGTATGGTATATACACGGTCGCGGGTTGCCTGTTGGCGGCTTCGAGCACGAAACGCGCGCGCATGCTCTCGATCGGAAGCTCTTGTGCACCAAGGCAATACATACCAGCAGTGGTGACTCTTCTCTGTGTGTGTGTGTGTGTGTGTGTGTGTGTACGTGTCTTTCATCGCGGAAGATCTCCAGTCCGTGCCCAGCCGAGGGCCCCGTATTCTTGCATCTGTTACTCCTGCAATACGCGTCCCCACTGGTTTTATCCTGTTCACTTTTACGAATAAGATGATCGTGCAAAATCCTCGCAAAGCATATTTCCGCCAACCGATCTCTCTCTCGAGGTTTTATCCGACGAACGATAAATTTTCTGAATCGAATAATATACTTATCATTATCAATTCGATGATGGGCATAAACAGCCCAAGAGAACGTAATCAATTCCGGACGAGTTTCCATCGTTAGTAAGATACACTTGGTTACCAATTAAACCTCCGTGTTGTGCCCATGAAATGAACTTTATGAAAGGACAAAGTCACCTTTGATCGTTCCGCGACTTTCAACCGGCAACCATTAACGAAGATTTACGTCCTCGTTTACCCGCCATTCGCCCCCTCTGTGTATATACCTACTTCGGGAGTCAATCGAATTTGGTCGAATGCTTGTATCCAGTTAATAATAATCAGTGTCGTAAAGCGCGACTCGGCTGGGCTGGCAAGAACGAGCTCTCTCCCGAGGCTTGGCGAGCAACCGGGGGGGTTTTCGCGTAGCTCTCTGAATTAAGATTACGGATATTGTTATGCCCACCCCGGCGTACGTATACACAGCCGCGAATGGTTGGGTTCACTCGGCACGGTTTACGCAGACCCGACGGACCACCTACTCTTTTCGGGGAATGTTAATTGGTCGTTTCACGAATTATAAACCACCGATGGGGGAGAAAGAAGAGTTCGCCGCTCGCGCGCTCGGCCACTTGCTATCGCGTCCATTAACATACCTGAGTTCGCCCTATCCGTTGCCGTCGGTTGCACGCTAGCGACGCTCGAACACTAACGACGCAAAAAGATACTAATTACAGCGGCAGCAACCTGCTGGCCGCTCTTCTTGTAGACAGAGACCCCGTCGTGTAATACGGCAACTTAGACTAATTATTGCCGTCTATTTGGTCTCGCGATTCCACCGATGGAAATTGCCAGCGTTCCGTTTGCCGGTGTCCCTCCCCCCCTTCCCTTCCTTCTTCCGTGCCTGCCTCTCGCCAAACATTCCCTGGCGTGTAATATTATATATGGGATGATCGTAATCGTACGGGCGAAATAAGTGAGTAAATTGGATATTTCGCGGAGATGAGGGGTGCCCACTCAGAAGACGGGGGACTTCTTCCGGCCCGAAGGAACGTTTGTTAAAAGCTATTCACCGCGAGCTCGTTTAATTTTATCGAAGGGGAAGTGCCCCCGTAACGCTTGAGAGACACGCATCGAAGTTATACATACATACAGTGAGTTCATTTCTGTACAGCTTTATTAAAAAGATCTTTCAGAACACTAAAACACGGGATAATGTTCCTACGATCTTTATCCTTAAATACGATGTCCAAAAAGTTAACGTGAAATGTCCTATTGCTGTTATTAGTAATGCAGAATTCTTTATGGTTATGAATACTAGAACTACTTACACTACAAACTTTTGAAAATTTACAAATTTATAAATTAACTAATTTCTTTAATGTCGTATCGTTATAAAAGTTACAAAAGATCTGAGAAAATGGATTGTTGTAACATTTTAATCATCGTTGTATTGGTAAGTCATTTTGACTTGCCTGGTAGTTCCAGCGTTAACAGCTGCCATATTGGAATGTACGAAAAACCACTGTACGCCCGAAACAAACGAGGTTAGACTTCTGTATTGAACATGTTTTCCAAATCGAATATTTTGAACACGCCTGTATACGCGTAGACACTAACTTAGAACGATCTTGTACGTAAAGAAATCGTCTCCTCGCGGATTATGAAAGAGCGACACAGGTAGTTTCGTGGTTAAGTCGATCAGGCGCGTATAATAGCAGACCGTTACGTTCACGGCTATGAAATTCGGCGTGCATGCGAATTTCCTACCGTTTCGAGGAGGTGAATCGTGTGAGCTACCGTCGTTCAAGAAGGAATCTGTGCTACGGGCAGCATTCCAGGTTGCGCGATAAGGTTACGACAGTGGCTCGAATGATTCTTGCCGTTCGCCCGTACGGATTTTCTGGTTATAAGCGGCACGAATCATTCGGGTGGTGGCTCGAAATGGAGCCACCGGGAAGCTGGGAATGTTGATCCACGGTGGTATGTCGGTCATCGAATGTAACAAGGTTATTGTGCGTGCTACATCGCGGGGTAATTAGAAACTCCTCGGAACGGTGTTGGAAACGTACCTACACGGCGCTGAAGAGTGCCACCGATAAGGTGTCAGATATACGAGACTCGTAAAGCGAATGACTCGCGAGATCTTACACGGTGATAGAGGCTAGGAAATTTCTGGATATGGGAGGGGGGGGGAGGCTTTAACTGCGTTCTTATAGACAGCGTAACTCAAAACGCGCCGTAAAACATGGGAACGATTCGGTCGGTGAAAACTCGCCGTAACTGTACTCTTTGCTTAACCATTCAGTTTCGTATCTCGTATGGGTAAGACAGAACGTATATGCGGCTTGGTTTAAATTGTCTGATACCTCGGGATAAGTACCCAGTTTTGCTAAATCATCAGAAATGTAAACGAAACGCTTCTATCTCATCTAGTACATAGGAAATACAGAGTATTTCATAATGACCCAGCATAATTTCAGGAATCGTTTTACACACTACCGAAATTTACCGTGGCATGGATAATCGAACAGAATCATTCAATCGTAAATAATGGAATGAATGGAAAAAAGGAACAGGACGAATTCTATTCGTGACGAAGGTGATTGATTTGCAATGGAAGAAAACAGGAAAAAAAAATACACGCAACAGTTTTTGACCATATATCGTCATTTCACCGAGCAGCGAAAGGGTTAGTCGTTTTTATGTCCTTCACGATTTCACAGACCGTGGCACGTGACAGTCGCAAGACCATGAGCGACCTTGTAGTTCCTGTCCACGGTCTTTCATAAAAGTCCACGGCTAGCGTTTCAGGCTGTCTTATTGCGCTTCGGGATCGTGTAATGATGTCCGTGGTTAAACTTCTCGTTCAGCCTGCCGGATCTTTTTTTTCTCTCTCTCTCTTTTTCCTTACGCTCAATTATTTCCGTACGCCCTACCGTGTGGCGTGGCTATGACGCACGGGTTTCGACGTTATTCACAAATGTAACCGGACGCGCGCGTCCACTTTCTCTCTCTCTCTCTCTCTCTTTCCCCACCGATCTGATTTAAATTTCGTTTTTCGGTTAATTGCATAATCCTGCCGCGGGTCCCCTGCAATTTTCAATTTCGCCTTTATCGACTGTGACCGGCTCGCTCGAGAAAAAGAAGGGAACCAACGATTTCGCTAAACGGCGGGATAACTTATCGACCTGGTTCCCGTTCCTTTTTGTTCCATTTCCAACGGGGCACAGCTGCGCCATTATTTTTGATCGGATCTCGGGGAAGAAATATTTATAATGCCGTCGCGGCGGTAAAAACGAGTAAAACGTGCGCGGGAATGTCTTTCAAAGTACAAGGATACGACATAAGATGTATGACGGAAAGGCTGAAGGTACTCGTCTCTCTGTCTCTCTGTCTTCTGTACGGCGTTCGATGGTTTTCGTTGTAATAAAATTTCTAGAAGGTGTAATTACCTGGTGTCGGTTAATCGATGGTGATCGAGGCACACGGGACATCGTTTACCCGTTAATTACCGGCTTCCATTATTAATTCGAGCAGGGAGTAATCGCTCCTCTTCCAAGCTATTAGATGGCGCCTTTAATTAATTATTTTCGCGGTACACACCTTGTAGGAGGTAACGGAAAGCCAGTGGACCAGGGTCCCAGAACGTAAATTGTCGTCCATAAGTATCACATCCGAACCATTACATTCTTTTTCGGAAACGATATCGATGAAAAATTAGGCGATCTATCTACAAAATAAGTAAGAACTACTGTTGTCTGTTCCACTTGAAGCTACAACACGTCACAACGAAATCACGTGACTGGTTGTAGGAACGTGTCACGAAATTAGTGTTCGTTGAAAAACATTACCTGTTCGTTTCTCACTCATAGACGGCCTTTCACAAAGTCCATTCGATTAGTGTACTAATTAATTAAAAAAAGAAAGTTTGATTTCGTGAAACGTTTTGTTGTACAAAGGTTTAGTTCGGTCTTTAGTTTAGGAAGGAACTTTGTATTTACACTTGCTGCAAGATCTTGCCCGCCAAAAAATGGACCAATCACAGGCCATCACGTGACGAGACGCCATTGTTGTTTTGACGTGATGTGTCTTCAAGTGTAAGAGGCACGACTATGTTCTCACAGTGACATCTGAAGTTGCAGCAGAAATTAATAAAGACAGGCGAGATTCTACTGTCGAGACTCTAAAAAGGTGATTATTAAAAAGTGACCATCTAAGTTTTTTTATCAGACATACCACTTGCAAAATCGCAAAGTAATGTGTTCGTTGTTCTATACTGTCAAGGGCACCGATTGGTGTTAATTATATTTTAAAACGTGTACAGTACCTATAGTGAGGGTAGAGGGCTCTTGATCAGATTTCACGAAGCGTTCAAGTACTTACGGACGGTAGTGTATATCGGAACCGACAAGGGAAACGAGTGGGACAGGAGCGAGACGAACAAGATTGTTCCTGGATTTGACCAAGATTGATGACCGGGAGCGAGCGGCTATCTCGAAAAGAAAAACTTTTTTTTTCAAGATACTTCGCTGAAATAGAGTGACGCAAGGATAACAGAGCGTAGCTACCGACTCGTACACGTTAATTTCACCTCCGCTGTATTAAACGAATCATTTGTCTGATTTAATAACGCTTCGGTTGCCACGACCACAGCGGGAATGTTTAATTTACGATAATTATTGTAATTTATGGTAATGCCGGGTATTAACTTCGTTCGATGGCTCCTTAAATTAAAGATCGCGAGAGCAACGTCATTTGCATAAAGGCGAGTAAAACTGAAGCGACAAGTGCTCGTCAGGAATTATTTTCGGCAGGGGGGGGGGCACGGTCGATGGATTTACGGCCATCTGGCTGCTACCAGCTTGAACACCTGTGAAATGGCTATTAAACACGAGACACCATATTTTGAAGCACCGTCTTCATGGGCAGTCGAACGGTCAAGCGATATTCTTGTTACTGTATTGTTATTCGTAAGGTATGAACAGTTTCTCTATAGTCATACTACTGACATTGGTGGACATGATTCTGTGATCGTTTTAGTGCCTGGCGATTTGTATGAGGTGACAGTCGATTTATTGTAGTACCTTCTGTAAACGTCAGCAGCACTATCGATGGCGGGGATAATAATGTGTATATCACGAGGGAACACTGCGTTTAGTAACTTTTCACACTAGGAACTCACGTTATTTTTAATATCGTTGGCAATTCGTTATTGGTAGACTTATTGAGAAAAAATCGTAATCACAATTTTATTCGAATATCACTAACGTAGAATTGGTTATCTGCATTTGTATGTTTACTATAACAATTTCAACAAAGTCGTCTACGCTTATCGCATCAGTTATACCCTGTTCTGTTGTTGCAGAATGCTGTCACCCGGTCAAGACGGCCAGTCGAACAGTTACGCGCACAATAATGTTGTCCTTCAAGGTGCACCCTGCGGTCAGTGTCGAGATTTATGCCCGGCCGGGTACGTGCCCCACTTTTGGAGGTGAGTAATCGGTCACAATTTCGTTTTACGACGGGCGTACATATTAAATCCGTTCATTAAGTCACACTCGACGAGTCTTAAGTTCAGTCCGATGGGAGACTGATTGCTTCTTCGCATTACGTGCAACATAACCTGTCAGATAGTTACCGCTATAAACACGAGACAAACTGACGGGCTTAATGTTATCGGTGTTTCGGAAAATTAAAAAAATTCTAAATACCATTCTGCGTGCTCCGTGATTCATCGTGTCCCCCCAGAGCGATACAGGGAAGAATTCATCGGGTTCTCGATGAAAGCGAAATGAACGATGCCTATTCCGAAATGACGCACACGGGCGTCTTTCATGGCGGCACGGTTCCAGAGTTATCATTACGCCGAGGACGATCGCCGTCGAGAAATTACGGGCGAACGCCGCGTAAATACTTCTGTAATACCGGCTAAACGAACCCGATCACGATGCACGCGATCCTTCTTTGATTTCCCGCCGGCCGTTGCCGCGATGCTACGTCGGAAAGGAAAAGTAAATGGCACGAACCGAACGAGTGAAACCCGGCGAGTACGTGCCGCGCGAGAAGAAAGAAAAAAAAAAGTTGGGGAGGGGGCGAAGAAAAAGAAGAGGGACGCTCGAAACGGAAAATTATCTCGAGCGTGGAGAGAAGAGAGACCAGAGTTGCGAGAGATCCGCCGGGTTGATCACCGATCGAACGACCGATAAAACGAAGAGGCGCGCCGATCCAGGCAGGGTGACCAACCTTCGCGTAACCGATGCGTATCGCGTGAACGGGATCTTGCGATATTTTTTCCGGCTTTTGTTCGGTGAAATGTCCTTATTCTTCGGATGTTTCACGAACGTGAGAACAGCCGTGGGTGGAGGTGAATAAAAAATATTCTCTGGTACAGTAGTAATCGATTTTTCAGAAATAACTACGTGGTGATTCTTAGTATCGTATTATTGAAGCATTGGTAGGCCTGAGAACCAGTCTGAAGTTGCGTCGTTTATGGGTTGTTCCGCGAGTATAGGTAGTTTGAAATTAATTAGACATTGCGGTAATTTGTTCACATTGTCTGTATATACTGATTCGAAGGTGACTTTGAGCCTTTTTTAGTTGGAACGTCTTATACCTCGTCTCGTCTTCACTGGAGACCGATTTACGACGCCGCGCAGCAAGCACACACGTCGTGGGTATAGAGACGGAGCACGACTAACTGGTTTTCATGATCGATTATTTATCAATTACTTATGACTCGGCTTTTTCCTCGTATCATCTGCTACCTGCAGTTCTAGCGCCATTCTTGCGTCAGTTTTTCCTTTGACGATAACTCCTGGACGGTGACGTTTACTGTTTTCACTTTTGCCAGAGGAATTTATGCCTATTGGGCTGTTGTCAGCGGAAACTCCGCTGATTTTAATCAAACCTTCTTCATATTATTACAGATCAATTTATTTAATCAGAAAATCCATAAAAACCAGCGTTAAATTTAATTACATTTTTTAGCTGACTGTATCCCACAGCTCGTTCATCTATGACAAATACAATATTAAGTGGACCAATAAGTAGTTCATTACGTTCTGTGAAACTTAGTATCCGTTTAGAAATAATTCAAAAGCTCAATCCTGTTTAACAATATTAGAAAATTAATAATCAGAAAATTTAAAATACACTCTGAACCTAAGATGTATCATCGCCATATTGGACATACAGTGAATTACTTATTGGTACGCTTAACACACAAAATCCGCAGTTCAGTAATCATCGATCAAGACGCAAATATAGTCACGATCTTCGTTCAAGTCGCGCTGCAGCGAAACGGTCAATACAGTATCGTCCCTCCCAAGAACTTACCATCGTCTCCTGAGCAGATCCTCTTACTTATCCCAGACGTAGAGAGAAAGACAGACAGAGAGAGAGAGAGTTAAGTAAATACATCACGAAGAATCACCGATTATCCCCGTAGCTCTTCAACGAATTCCACGTCGGTTACCTTGAGACCAGGCCTCCCCCGTTTCCTCTCCGAAGCGCGCGAAATGCTTTCGAATCTGACCGGGGGATACGTCTGCTATAGCCCCGCGTGTGTATAGTAATTGCCGGCCGATTTCCCGTGGGCAGCCCCCATCTAGACGCGAGAAATCGGCCGGTCGAGGGTAAGCAGCAGAAGAAGAAGAAGAAGAAGACGAGAAACCGCGCGCGGGTAAGCGTGGCCGTGGCCGAGCCCCGACCGAGCGGAGATCGAAAGAGGGCAAAAGGAAGGTTTCTCGGGTTCGGGTCGCGGGGTCGACTCGTCGGTCTCACGCGAGCCCTGCGTGCAACGAGACCGGCGATGGGGCCGTTCCAAGACGAATCGCACGGGCAACCGAGGAGCTGAACCGATGAGAAAGAACGGAGAGGCGAGAGTGTACCCCGAAGATCGAGGGTAGGGGGAGACGTATGTTGGCCTGTAATTAACATACCGAACCCCCCTTTTTCCCGCCCCGCGCGAACTCGGCCCCCGATGGTTCGCAGGTTCACGGAGCGCGAGGATGCAGTTCGTTATTCCAGCTAGTTTGGGATCGGTTGACCTTCCAGATTCTAGGTGACGATGAAGGAGCTATTGACGTTTTTAAGGAAGGATACGTGAGAGATACCTTTGTTTAGTATTCTTATGGATTTCAATAACTAATTGAAGGAATGTTGTTCCTCTTGGAAGTCCGACCAGGTTTGTTCTCTCTAGCATAACTTTAGCCTTCGGACTTAGCGCTTATCTAGCTAGTTTGGGATCGGTTGACTTTCCAGATTCTAGTGATAATGAAGGAGCTATAGACGTTCTTAAGGAAGTATACGTTAGAGATACCCTTGTTTATTACATTTCTTATGGATTTCAGTAACTAATCGAAGGAATGTTGTTCCTTTTGGAAGTCAGACTAGGTTTGTTCCTTCTAGCATCCCCCTAGCCTAGCGCCTAGCTAGCTAGTTCGGGATCGGTTGACTTTCCAGATTTTAGCGATGATGAGGTATATGAGGGAGTTATTCTTACGGGAGTATACGTTACAAACTCTTATTCAATATATTTCGTACGGATTTCAGTAGCTAATCGAATGAATGTTATTCCCCTTGAAACTTAAACCGCTTTGTTCCTGGTAGCATCACCTCGCCAATTAAAGTAGTAGCTAATTAAAGTAACGCGCTGTAACACGCGAAATACTGGAAACATACCGAAATGGTGGTAACGAACGTGTTAATAGGACTCGGGAATTAAGCCCATTCCCGACGAGCAATCTCGCCGATCTATGTCTAGCTTTATAATTACGGGAAAAGAGGAATCGCTCGGGTACTCTCCTATGGCTTCATCTTCTTTTTCCTTTCCCGTACTTGAATATAGAGGACAATTACCGCTAATAGGTAGCGGTAGATTCGATTTTTTTTTTTTTTACATAGGACCGATAGAACGATCTCCTTAAAGCCCCTGATCGATCCGAAACGGAACCAATCTAGTTTTTACGGTAGTCAACAGAAATATACCATAGACGCGTCGATGATACTTAATAAGGAATCCTCTTGTACCCCTATGATATAGGATCGTGTACCACGATGATCATCGGACGGTTAATTAAATTGATGTTCCAATAAATTAGAAACTCGGTGGGTGTATTGATTAGATACCGAAACGGGGAATAGAAAGTTCAGCCGGTATCGGGGCCACGGATCTTCATTGTGGTCTGGGAGCGTTCCGCGCTTGAACGGTCGCGACCAAAGATCGGTTCCGTTGCTAAATTGGCTGCATGCTTCGCGATCACAGGGAGATTTCTGGCGACCCCGCCTTTGCGGCAACACCTGTTCGGGTTGCGGCAAGAACAGAATTTTTCTGTTTTCTCTTTTGTGCGAAGTAACTCGCCCGGATCAGCGCAAGAAAATCTGTATTACACTGCTCTCTCAAGTACAGGAAGCTCGAACGGTTTCTTTGGAAAGTTAAGGATATGGACGATTTGATGGGCGAAATTTATATTGTAAAACAAGTTCTAATAATTTATAATTTAACTGATATTGATGTGAGAGACGGGTGATTAATATGGCTGCCGTCAATGGCCAATATGGACGCCATTGGTGTACCGCCAATATGGCCGTCATTTAGACTAGCTTTATATTGCTCTAGAAACAAAAATCAAAAAACTAGTAGTTAGAAGCATAGAAGCTGTGGAAAATACAAGGAAATCGTGGAACAGATAAAATAAATGGATTTTCCTTCGTATCACTTTCAGCTCTTGGCCAATGAAAGAACCAAGTAAGGTTTTCCTAATTTGTCCAGGGAGCCTCACCAAGCGAACCGGTTTTTGCCGCGAAGTACCTTCGTTCTGCGTCCGTTTATTGCCAGTATCTTACTCCTTCATTGATCTTCTGCTCCCAAAGAAATAGCACTATCTAGACCATTCTGCCAGGGTCGATTACGGTTTCCACAAACAACTATCAACAGGGGAGAAGAGAGATTGTGCTTGGATTCACGGATATCGTAAAACGTCGGGTCCATGATTTACCACTCTGCACACGCGAATTAGCAGATGAATTTCGATAGGGAGTTAATGATGCAGAGCTGATGCCTGACCGCGAGCACGAGCTCTCTGGAACGACCAAAGACGGCGAAAGGGCTCGCGGATTTCTCGAATGTTGGCTCGAGTCGAGTATCAGAGGGAACGAATGGATCGAAATGGATTGTATCGCCGTGAAAACCGGCATGAAAGGGCGAGGTTGATAAGTCGTCTTTGGTCGCCTCTATCGGGGGCGACAGCGCGTGAGAAAAGCTCCGGGTACGCTTTAATCCTTTGATTCCGCTCGACTTTGATCGATGTTCGGCTATTCGGACCTGATCGACCTCGATCGAGTCTTTTGCACTGTCGACACTGATTTTTTTAACCTCGAGTAATTCATTATACTCCTGCCGTGGAAACGCCAGGGGTGTTTTCTTTCCAACTTCAGCTTTGTAATAATAATTATGTCTGCTGGAAAAGTGTAAAAGGACAGAATTGAATT